AAACAACTTGGCGCATGTCGCGGAACTTATAAGCCGAGTGACCGGTGAACTCGCACTTCTGGACGTAGCGCATGGCCGTCTTCCAATTGTCGCCGCGATCCCTTGAGATCGACGCCTCCTTGAAGCATTGGTCCTTGCCATCAATCTTCTCGCACTTCTCGCCTATCCAGATGAGCCAATCCTTCTTGTCGGGATGGAAAGAGAGGGGGTTGCTCGTTCCGGGCTTCGTGGGCGCCTCAAACGAGTGGAAATGCTCGGCGCGATCGATCGTGTACAAAACCTTCTTAGAGTCTGTGGTGAAGAACACGGCATCCTTGAAGTAGTAGTGTGGGTAGATACCGCGCACCTCCTCGTCTTCAAGAATCTTATCCCAAGTCTTGCCATGGTCCTTTGTTCGCCAAATCTGCTTGTCGGCTTTCATGCTGTTGCCAACGTACTCGACCGGTCTGACAAGGATGGTCTCATCAACTTCAGTGCTCGAGTCGCCCCTCTCCAAGTAAATCTTTTCAAAGTCCTTCAGGTTTGTCTTGAAGACGTGCTGGACCGCCTTTATCTTGCCATCAGCAGGGGCACTAGGAGTGCCGCCAATGTCAGAGCACTTTCGCTCAACCTCGTCGTCCTTTTGCGCGCCACTCTTCCGCTTGCAGGTGTTTCCTGGAATCTTGCGCCAGCCCGATGAGCCCTTGAATGTGTCGTCCGGCTTGGCATTCTTGCAGGCATTATCAGGCGCGACGATGGGGCCAACCTTCTTGCAATTATCACCATCCTTGACGAAGTTGTAGTCGCATTCAAAGTCTGCGTCCGTACACTCGCAGTCTTCCGTGACAGGAACAGGGTCCTTGAATTCCTGCTTCATGAAGCAGTCGGCCGTCTTCTTGCGGCGGCGATACGTCTGCTTGTGGCCCATCAGGCAGGTAGGCTTGCCATCGGCATCAGGGCGGGCGTGCCAGTCCTCCAAGTCGTCGTCCTTACACGTTCGCTCGTGCAGACCTTCGAAGTCAATCGCAATGATGTGGTACTTGGCATTATCGCCCCCAGTCCTGCCGACGAGCAGGAACTTGAGACTAGTCGAGTCTTGTGTCGTTGTGATCAGCTCGGGCTTAATCTTCAGGTCATCTGGGAGCGAGGCTTTCTTCCAATTCTCGCCATGGTCCAAGGAGTATTGAATTTCTCCCACATCTTCCTTGTTGGAGTCCTTGACGGCTACCAGGATGGAGCCCTGATCACCAAACTCGTACTTGTGAGGGCCATCGAGAGCCTTCTTCCAAGTTACACCCGCATCGTCGGAAACGTAAACGTCTCCTTCACCAAATTTGGTCAAAGCCTTGCCCTTGTTTCCGATTCCGAGAACAAGACCAGGGGCAGGGCTAGAAAATACTCTACCAACGTTGTCGAGATCAGTGACAGAATGCAGCTGCAGCTCGTCGTCACCCGTCTTCAGACCGTGGAAGTTGCGGCCATCATCGAATGTGATCTTGGTGACAATTTGCTTCTCTTTCCGGGGGTCCTTCTCAACCTCTTCAAAGTTCTTCACAGTATTGACAATGAAGATGCCCTGCACACCAGTGATCTTCTCAAAGTCGACGTGACCACGAGAGTTGCGGTTCGTGTGCTCGAGGTTCTCGATGAAGAAAGTGCCGTTGGAGTTACTTGTGAACATGACACCCATTGGGTTCGAGGGTCTCGTGTTCATGACGTCAATCTGGATACTGTAGTTTGTGCTTTCCAAGACGGTGTAGGCTTCCTGGTTGATCTTGTGGCCATGATCGGTAGGGAACATTGCGCGATGCCACTTGATTGTGTCGTCTGTGACGAAGAGGGCCATCTCATCAGTATTGAGAGATGACGTGGCGACCATCAAGTATTTCTTGACCACAGCCAAATTGACAACACCCTGTACTCCCCGGGTTGTATCCATGTTCGGCTCGAATTCTTGAATCTTGTTGTCAACCTTTTCGTAGTAGTTGTCAGACGCAAAGAGGCGTTGGTCTTCCTTGAAAGGCGAAAAGCTGTCGCGGACGATGCAGAGAATCCGTTGCTTGTCGAGGTCGTCCTTGCCGGTGGTGAAGAGGTCCGAGGACTTGGCCCACCAGCATCCCGCAGTGTTGAATCTGAGGGGCTTCGCCTTGGATTTGAAGCCATCCGTCGTGTACATGGAGACTTCTTCGCAAAAGATGCCGGCGCAGTCCATGCCGTTGAAGATGATGCGATCCGGGTCGCCAGCGTGGAAATGGAGAATGTCCTCGCGGAAGGCGCTGGTGCCGGCGACACTCTCCCACTTCTGCCATGATTTGCCTTTGTCAGAGGTCTTCCAGTGTTCTTTGCCTTCGGTAATTACGTAGGCGCGGCTCTTGTCGAATTCGTGCATGGTGAGCATGTAGGCCTTTTCGCCAGGGACGTCTGAGACCTTGTTCCACGACACGCCCGCATCGTCGGACCGATAAATATTTCGTTCGGAGACATCGTGGTAGAGGATAGAGTCGGAGTCTTCGAAGTAATTCAGGTTGATGGGAGGATGTCTGATGGTGGTGACCTTGATTGACGGTTCGTCCTTTGCATGGACAACTGCTGTCAAGGTTAAGACCGACAGCAGGATGCGCCACGGGGCGGCAGCCTTGCCCCTAAGCCTCATGTTCGGAGCTTCGTCTGGATGTTGGTGATCATTAAAAAGAACAGGTTGTCAGAGGATGTAAGGGTCGCCCAAAAGCAATAAGATTCGTCCCGAGGTGGACGCGGTAGACAGCAGGAGGGATCGTACGGGCCAGCCCAGCGGTAATTGACTTGGGTGATTAACGTGTCGGTTGGAAAGTCGTCGAAGTCAAACACATGTCCGGAGGGAAACGTCAGCGTAGGAGGTATGTTTCGCAGCACGCGAGTCGGGTGGCTAAGCTTCAGCTCCACCCTAGCTTTGACGCCACACCAGCGCATCAAAGAGTGTCGCTCGGCCCCCGGGTCCCCCCAATCAGGAAGTCAGGGTGGTCCCGGTGCGATGCCGACAGCTGTCTCCCTGGCCGCGGCCGCGCTGCCTCGCCCCGCCCCCCTGCACTATGACTTTATATAGAATGCTTCCCGTCCACTACTGCTAAAGGATAGACCTATCGTGAGTTATTCAGCCTTGAATTTGGATAATTGAAACATAGGATCTCGTCTTCGTCAGAGGCTTTTATCAGTGACATAGTCGGACTTTGGATTAGATTCTTAATCACAGCTGTCGTTATTTCCGGCTCATCCGGAGGATGATCTATTGGTACTACCTACTGTCGCCAGCGTCGATACTATGTGGTTGACCGAAAGATGAATGCGTTCCTGGGACGATGTACAGATCTTTCACTTGACCGAATCCAGAAAATCCCGGTCAATATTCGTCTGCTGCCGAATAAAGTCTTCATGACGGTAGCTGAGGTACACTAATGAGAACTATTGGGAACTCTCTTTTAAATAAGCACCCCAAGAGCTATCTGTAATTACAGTAGCATACCTCAAGAGAAATTCTGAGACAACAATCTATCGCTTCTGATCCCACGCATCATTTCTGTCAGACCAAGGGATATCTGCCTACAGATCTCATAAACGAATAAGAAAGAGCCATGGTCAGGTCACGTCGGCCGGGGATATTATCGAATGGCGAATTCCGAACATGCGTGGTAGGATACGATAGCATCTTCGCCGGATCCACTTACTGGCTTGCCATCGGTAACGAAGCTTTCTTTTCTTGCAGCAGCCCATATCTTCAACGAAAGATTCCGCACATTGGGTGCGTCAGGAACAAAAGAAAGTTGGCAGCATCTTGTACCATCTACACAGCCAACCTCACTTCAAGTCGAGTCTGGAATACGCATGGCATTCCAACACTATAGCTTGCAAAAGGTAATTGATAAGATTCTAATGCACTAGCTCACTGACTTCGCAGCGCCTTGCAAGACCTCTTTACTGGACCAGATGCTACAGGGTGTTGGTGAGTGGCGACGGGATGGTATCTTGTCTGGTGGAACCAGACATCTGCCAACTCCACTTCTCCCGGAGGAAATTACAAAAAGACCCCCCGGCCGAACCCCACGGCGCGAGCCGGGTATGATCCGGAAGTTGGAACAGATCCCTCTCCACCTGGATGCCATGGGCTAGGCTCCGATCGGCCTCCGGAAGAGATGGCCCGTTGTGATCCGGATCGGCCTCAGGATAGAGAAGGAGAAGCTTTCATTGACAAGGCCCCTTTCCACCTCCAAGTCTCCAATACAAAACACCAAGGCAGGAGACATGTCAGTGCTACTTCTCTTGGTCGCAGACGCAGGCAGGCAGTACAACCTGATGCCTCGACGCGAGACGGCTGAGACGTTTTGCCCCGCAAGATCAATGCGCTTGGGGTCCCCGCTACCCGCATTGCCACTTTCTAGAACAATATCACATCCAGGTGCCAACAGAACTTGTATAGTGCGTGTTGTAGTAGAGAGTTTTTCGTATTGGAAGCATACTAGGTTTATATAGGCAATTACCTCATATTCCCCAATTCTCACATCTGCTTTGTCCACATGCTGATCTACCACCATCGTCATGCACTGCACGCCGGAAAGCACCTTTATGCCAACGACTAGACAAAGTCATGCCCTGCTTCAATCTCCAAGTTGCACATTCTGTAGTTTCAGAAAAAGCAAGAGAGAATTGTGAATTCGGATCCGATGTTGCCGCAAGAAGGTCGGGGTCGTCGATTATCTTAGGACTGCACATCATGCAGTCCTGATTCTACCCCAGAACCAGATACAATGTTGTATCGAGCTTGCAAAGGCCAACTGATCTAGTACCCGCTCTTTGACTGCCGATCAGTTCAAAAGCTCTATTTAAGAGTGTGTTCCTGGTGGGTGCGCTTTGTAGGTGAGGTATCCGTTCGATATGCGCGGTACACATAGGGCAGCGAAGTTGATAGATTGCTTTGCACCGTAATTAATCGCATGGCAGAGCAGAGCCAACACCGAAGTAAAAAGACGCCAGAATCACAAAGAAAATCATCAGGCTTCCTTGGATGATTCCTTCGCATTGGACTCTCTGTCGGCTCCATTGCCAGTTTTGGGCTCTCCTTCAGCATCGAATCCCAAAGCATCAAGTTCACGAATAAGCTCATTGATCTTGATGACCTTGGCGATCTGCTCAGGCAGAAGCGTCCCTCCGCCTTCCTTCTTGTCCTTGAGGTCCTTTGCCTGCTTCAGCTTCTTCTTAAGATTCCGAGCCTTCTTTTCTCTCTCGACTTCGGGGTCTGCCTCTTCGGCCTTGGCAGCATTGTCGTCACCACCGGTCTGCTTCGTATCGTCCCCTTCCTCCTCGCCGGTAGCCTTGGCCTTCTTTCGCGCTTCTCGACGCTTTGCATTCTTGTTACTTGCGGCGGAAGAGGAGGCGTCCGGCTTTTCCTCCTTCAGGCCCGTCGCACCAGGAATACCGCCTCTTGTCGCACGATCACGGAACCCTGCGGCAGTGCGATTCTTGTAGACTTCGACATCTTCAGGGGGGCGGTAGCCGGGGCGAACTTTGATGGCTTTGCGAACGCTACCGTCCGCTCGCTTCGACTCGGGGATCTGGCGTTCGCCGGCATCATCCGTGATGATGCCTGCGTTAGAGGCCTTTGTAGGTTCGGAGGGCATCTTGTCGTGAAACCTTGACAGCTCAACAGAGCTGGCCGCAGCAAGAAGCTACAAGCTGTCCGGCTGTGTTTGGGGAACTGCCCCAATCGAGAGCTTCGTGGGTTCGTCGCAAGGCTGTGCCGTTCAGGCAGGCTGGCTGGAGGCGAGTGCTCACCGGCGGCCCAAAGCGTTCGGTGATGGCCTGCCACTTATGCGATGCGGTAGCTGGTAGCTTAAGCTCGGCACAGGGGGATGGCGGGGTATGTGCGTGCAGCTGGACCGTTTCGCGGAGAGCCGGGGGAGCTGCGGACGTCGGGGCAGCGTGATGATCTACCTGCACGGGTCAATCTGAGATCGCGTACAGGGCCGTCTGGAGCCAGGTTTCGATGCGAAGCTACGGTCGACAGCTCTCACGTCGGTTTTGAATTGGCTGGTGGGAGAGAAAGCGAGTGTGGAAGTTGAGGTCGAAACAACCCCTCCTACGCCGCGCACTGACCATTATGGGGTCTGAACCTTCTTTGGACAAAAAAGACGCTGATTGGCTATAAACACATGATCCACTCTGACGGATTCAGGAACACCAGACGAGAAGGACATCAGCAAGGATAGCACCTTACCTTGCGTTCCAAACTTCCGTATCTACACTACGAATACCGATCACAGAGATCTGTCATGGCAGTTGAGCAAGGAAGAGGAGGTGAGAGAGAGGCAGCCACCACTTGGACGGTCAAGCAAACTCGCACTCTCCTGCGCCGAGAGAACTAGTCGTGGACGACCTATCTGGCCAGGATGACGCCACGTGTGTCGCATCTTCTGGGCTGGTCAGACCTGCAGACTGCCGGTGTATCTTTCGGTGAGGAGGAACTTAGGGAGACGACGGGAAGTACGGTGCTTTCTGTGCCATCCCATGTTAGCGAATACCAACCCCTGTGCTGCCAGGTTTTTTTCTACTTCGGTTTGTCTGTCCAGCTGTGCTGAAATCATTGACAGGGTGGAATGTGGGCGACAGCGCACCAAGCCGTTCCGTCTGGCCATTGTAAGTCAAGCTTCCTCATTACCCGTTTCAACCAGATTGTCATCCATACGGGTTGCACCCGCTCTCTGAGGCGGTGACTTTTTTTTTCTTTTGCAACTGGTATCAACCGCTATCTAGACGCAAAGTATCAGCATTGCTTGCCCTGCAGACTGGGTGGTTACCATCAAGCCACCTTTCAACGTCTCCCGTCGGCATAAAGGTGTGGATGAATGGCGCTTCCCTCATCAAGCAGCATGATGTAGACATACAACCATGGCTGAGAGGGAGTGGCACATGACGCGCCTCCCTCATCATTGGGGGAGCCAGACTTCAGACCATCAAAAACAAGGAACGTATACCGCCATATCCAGTTGAGGGAGGCAAGGTAACTTTCTACACCGCAATGCACCGCGCACTGGAGCGCTCGCTGATAACATGAGAGGGAGAATTGATATTAAGGGGAATTTCCCAATAATACCAAATAGCCGTTCATCTTCGTCCGTACACAGATGACTTGGCCAAGAAAACACAAGCTTCTTTCGACCAGTCAAGCTTTCTGGACTCAGTCCGCGTTTGCCAAGACTTAGGCGACATAATGGTCTCGCTCTCATCAAACCAGAAACCACTTGAAAGAGCAGCCAGCGAATGCGCTCGCGACAATCGTCAGAGCCCTGCACGCTCGTTCTTGGCATTGACCGTTCCATGGTCAGCTTCCTCCGGGCCATAGTGTGGTCAATAACAGCTTTCCATCGTCATTGTCCGTCCGATGATTGGTACAACTTGCTTGATTCCCGGAGTGCCGCGGTTTATGCACGTAAAAAGGTAGGCGTCGGCTTTGTGAAAGCTATTACGGCAGGTGAAATTGGTGATGATGCAGTGGTTGAGTATTACCAGGTACAAGTTGGGCTTGCCAAGGATGTTGTACTTACCTAGTGGGCAAGGCAGACTGGTTGGACTGAACGTGCTTTGGTTTCTGTAGACAATAACAGCCTTCATCTCCCAATTCTTCTTCTTCTGTTTGTCTTGTTTCCTCGCTTCTTCCCAAATCGCTGTGCAATTCCGTCGCAGCTGTTGTGCCTTCCTCACAGCTTAGAGGAGGCCTCCCAAAAGCATCACCGCGCCTTTTGTTGCCCAAGCTCCTGGTGACCTTTGGAGCAGCTTCCACACTTCATTCGACTCATTGGGCAAGCGCGACAACATTCACTCCTTCCGTGCCTACTTTACATTCACCGGCATTGGCGACATCTGCTAGTTGCCTTTGCTGCCTTCCCATTACTAGTTCAGTAACGGTCTGGATCAAACAACAACACCTTTCTTGGCCCAACTACATCTTCTTTCGACAGACAATTCCGGAATAATACCCGACAGAAATCAACTTGAGTATCTGAATACCGCTTCAATCCGAAGGCTACTCGTCGCATTGCTCAGTCCCCATTGCTATTATGGCGACAGCCCACAAAGATGCCGAGAAAGGCGTCAATGTCTCGGATCAGGACGAAAAGAGTCAGCAACAGCCACTTGATATCGAGGCCAAGACAGCCAAGGATGAGAACCACCATGGATCCCGCAAGTTCTCATTGGATACGGCAGATGCTCTGACTCCTGATCGCGGCACCGAAGACATGTTTAACACGAAAGAAAACAACAAGTTCGCGTTCGCCCCCGGTCATCTGAGCAAGCTCTTGAACCCGAAAAGTCATAACGCCTTTTACGCTCTCGGCGGTCTTGCTGGTCTGGAGAAGGGTCTTCAAACCAACCGCAAGACCGGTTTGGGTGTTGACGAAGACAAGTTGGATCACGCCGTTTCGTTCGAGGAGGTGGCCCTCAAGGGCGTTCCCAAGTACGGTGCAGCTGGAAACACAGTCCCCCAGCCAGACCCAAAAGCGAAGAATGACATTCCCATTCCACCTCCTCCGAGCGAGTATACTGGTGGCTTCTCGGACCGCAAACATGCGTTTCGTGACAATAGACTGCCCGACAAAAAGCAAAAGTCCTTTTTGCAGATGGTGTGGATCGCCTACAACGACAAGGTGTTGATTTTGTTGTCGATCGCCGCCGTCGTCTCTCTTGCGCTGGGCTTATACGAGACTTTTGGGCAAAGCCATGAACCGGGTGAAGCTCGAGTCGAGTGGGTTGAGGGTGTTGCCATTATGGTTGCCATTGTGATCGTCGTCATGGTTGGCTCGATCAACGATTGGCGAATGCAACAAAAGTTCAACACTCTCAACAAGAAGAATGATGATCGCACTGTCAAAGTCATTCGCTCTGGCAAGTCGGTGGAAATATCTGTCTACGACATTGTGGTTGGCGATGTGGTTCATCTCTCAACTGGCGACAGTACGTATGATCTTTGGGACATCAGGTCGACTTCTGGCTAACATCTGACTCTCTAGTGGTACCTGTTGATGGCATCTTCATTGAAGGTCACGGGGTCAAGTGCGACGAGTCATCGGCTACAGGCGAGTCTGATCTACTGAAAAAGGTCGGCGCCGACGAAGTCTACGCTGCTCTTGAAAAAATGGCGAATGACAACGTCGATCATCCCGATATTGAGAAGATGGATCCGTTCATCATCTCCGGTAGCAAGATTCAAGAAGGCACGGGTACTTTCATGGCCACTGCGGTAGGCGTCAACTCCTCGTACGGCCGCATTACCATGTCTCTGAGAACCGAACAAGAAGATACTCCATTGCAGAGAAAGCTCAACATTCTTGCTGATTGGATTGCGAAAGCTGGTTTTGCCGCAGCTTTACTGCTCTTCGTCGTCCTTTTCATCAAGTTCTGCGTTGGACTTCCCACGAACAATGGTACCCCTGAACAGAAAGGCCAGCAATTTCTGAAGCTTTTCATTGTTTCGGTTACCGTTGTCGTTGTGGCTGTTCCCGAGGGACTGCCTCTGGCTGTTACTCTGGCGCTCTCTTTCGCAACATCGCGTATGATGAAAGACAACAATTTGGTGCGAGTCCTCAAGGCTTGCGAGACCATGGGCAACGCGACCACGATTTGCTCAGACAAGACAGGTACTCTCACACAGAACAAGATGTCAGTTGTTGCCACTACACTGGGCAAGAGCATCAGTTTTGGTGGTACCGATGCTCCTCTCGAATCGTCAAAAGAAGAGAAACCCAAGAACAGCACGTCCCCTTCCGACGAAACCCACGTCAACTCGGTCCGAAATGTCTCAGCAGGAGATTTTGCCAAAGACCTCAGCTCTGAGACGAAGCAGCTTCTCATTCAAGGCAATGCTGTCAACTCCACTGCCTTCGAGGGAGACCAAGAAGGAGAGCACACTTTCATTGGATCCAAGACTGAAGTTGCCCTTCTCACTTTCAGCCGGGATCAATTGGGAGCCGGGCCAGTCGAGGAAGAGCGATCAAACGCAAATGTTATTCAAGTTGTTCCTTTTGATTCGGCAGTCAAATACATGGCTACTGTTGTCAAGCTCTCGAACGGAAAATACAGGGCTTACGTCAAGGGAGCCTCTGAGATTCTCCTCGGAAAATGTACCACGGTGTTGGACAACCCGAGCGGCTCCGAGCTCAACGTTGTGGACTTGACTGCGGAAGACAAGGATATGTTTGCGCAAACCATTGATTCGTACGCTGGTCAAACCCTTCGCACCATTGGCTCTTCCTTCCGGGATTTCGACTCTTGGCCGCCAAAAGAAGCTGTCTCTGAGGATGACTCAAGGAGTGCAGACTTTGACAAGATTCACCAAGACATGACTCTCATTGCGATTTACGGCATCAAGGATCCGCTGAGATCATCCGTCATTGACGCCATCAAGGACTGCAATCGCGCTGGTGTGGTGGTCCGCATGGTTACTGGAGACAACATCTTGACGGCAAGAGCAATCGCCAAGGAATGTGGCATCTATCATCCCGAAGATGGCGGCATTGCCATGGAAGGCCCAACTTTCCGCAGAAAGACTGAGGAAGAACTCAAGGATATCGTTCCCAAACTTCAAGTACTTGCGCGTTCCAGTCCTGAAGACAAAAGAATCCTTGTTCGAACTCTCAAGGATCTTGGCGAGACGGTTGCTGTGACTGGAGACGGCACAAACGACGCGCCCGCGCTCAAGCTGTCAGATATTGGATTCTCCATGGGCATTGCTGGCACTGAAGTCGCCAAAGAAGCATCTGGCATCATTTTGATGGATGATAATTTTGCTTCGATCGTCAAAGCCTTGATGTGGGGAAGAGCTGTGAACGACTCCGTCAAGAAGTTCTTGCAGGTAAGTTTCACCAGTATGGAGAGTCGAATGAACTCGCTAACATTCCCAAGTTCCAACTGACCGTGAACGTGACCGCTGTTGTCTTGACATTCGTCTCTGCAGTCGCCAGTCCCACCCAGGAGTCGGTGCTCAATGCCGTCCAATTGCTCTGGGTTAACTTGATCATGGACACATTCGCGGCACTCGCGCTTGCCACAGACCCGCCGACGCGGAGTGTCCTAGACCGCAAGCCTGACAGAAAGTCTGCCTCACTTATCACGCTAAGAATGGCAAAGATGATCATTGGACAAGCCATTTTACAGCTCGTGATAACCTTTGTCTTGAACTTTGCTGGACGCAGCCTTCTGGGCTACGGCACATCTGAAGACGATACCAAGAGTCTGAATACCCTCGTCTTCAACACATTTGTCTGGCTGCAAATCTTCAACGAACTCAAGTAAGTCATTCATGGTAAAATAATGGTGAACAGTTAACTGACTCGCGATTAGCAATCGCCGCCTTGACAACAGATTCAACATTTTTGAGAACATCACCAAGAATTACTTCTTCATCGGAATCAACCTGATCATGATTGGTGGTCAGGTTCTCATTGTTTTCAAGGGAGGTGAGGCCTTCCAGATCCATGCTTTGAACGGCAAAGAATGGGGTCTCTCTATTGGTCTCGGCGCTATTTCTCTTCCTTGGGGAGCCTTCATCCGTCTCATCCCCGACGCGTGGGTAGCGTCATGCCTGCCGTGGTTCATCCGCAAGAGGTGGGCGCCTGATACAATCTCCGAGAAGCGTCTCGAAGAGCATCGCAAGTTCACTGGCGGCCTTGAACCTCCTCTGCGGACACACACTGGACTCAGAGGTCGCAGAGCGCAGGAGCATATGCCATTCCGACAGCGGATGCACAATGCCAAAGTCCACGCGAAGGCAAAGATTGGCGGCCATGGCCATAGCGTCTCGCCTATTAAAGAAGGTTGAGGCATACGAGTCTTAGCAACATCAGGCTTGCAGCCATGTAATAATAGTAATTAGTAACGAGAACTCTTTTGATCAAATTGCTTCGTCACGTCGTTCTTCGACTGCTGCAAGTGTTTGGACGTAAGAGTGAAAATGTGCGTCGTACCGTATTCACCAAGAACCACAGCAAGATGAAATGCTGTGACCATATCAGCGTCTGTTTTGGCGTCCGTCAAGTAAACGCCTGATTCATACTCTTGGCATGTCTTCAGCACAGTTGCAACTCCAAGTGATGCCAATCTGGAAATCTGTGGCTCGGGTGTTGAGGATGTGGCTAGGGGTGACACGTGAGGCTGGAATGTCTTAGTCATCCAACAGTCGGTGGTCCAAGGGAAGGTGGACCGCAGAGCCAATCAGAGCCCATGTATTTCGGCAAAGCTAAGTGCTTCCCGGAACATCGCGAATTTCGTCAAGATTCCCAACACCATCCGATTCAACCCACTCCCGAACGATCATCGCCTCGCCGACCGCAACGAAGCACCCTTGCCACCACTCGAGACGTGCGAACTGACAGACGATATTCAAAATGGTACGTGAAACACTCTGCGGGCAATCCTCGCGCGACCGCAATTAGCTAATCGCTCACTTTTGATTCTCACAGGCCGCCGCTCGCCCTTTCTACTCGCAAGTTTTCCCTCCTCACGCACCCCTTACCTGTCGCCGGCCGATATCGATTGTATCAGCTTGCCACTGCGCCACTTGGATCCGACAGAGGCAGTCTTGATTGAGCGAACGAAAGACATTTGTGCTAACGTGCGGTTTGGTCGTATAGCGCTATCTTCAAGAACAACTTCTCCATGCTCGGCTTCGTCTTTGCGACGGGCTTTGCTTTCGAGATGTGAGGTCCCCTCCCTCTTGCGAAAACACAGACACACCGGTACCTTTTGCGAGGCCTTGAGGAGCGAAGAGACCGATGGGCCGAGGTATCGGGGCGGTCGAGAGGGAATTATACGTGGGCTGACATGTTTTGTTTTTGCGCTCTAGGGGCTTCAACGGTGCGATGAACAAGTACTGGGACTACCTGAACCGCGGCGTAAGTGCTTTCATCAGGTGCAATATGGGTGCAGAGTTACTGTGCAAACCTGGAGGGTCTACGAGTGGCTTTGAACCGTGACTGTAGGTTTGGACTTTTGCTGACCAAAGACTCGGACGTATAGCGCCAATGGAAGGATATCCGCCACAAGTACGTCGAGGCTGCCGATGACGACGAGGAATAGACGAAATCTACGACTGTACTGGGGGGGCGTGAAATAGAGGACGAGGGGCCTTACTTTCCTTTTCAGAGCTTTGGCTCGGTGGAGGGGAAGTCCCTAGGTGGGCGTGTATTTTGTACCGATAGACGGAAGGGCGTGTAGAACATCAAGCTACCTTTCTGCATATTACTTACATTTGAGATTCCCCTTTTGCTTTTCGTGAAAGATGGACGTGGTGAGGGTCTAAGTAGCGAGCTGCGGACCATTCATCTTGGCAGTTGCTGAGGTTTGGTTGCAATGAGGTTCCCTTAGAGGCTCTCTGTTGTAGCTGGAAAGTGGAGATGAAGCCACAAAACTGTCTTCCTCGTGGGAGCTCGCTCAATCAAGCTTGTGCAGATACTACAGTCCACGAATCGCGTATAGTACACTCCGGCAGACAGAGAACCAGAACCATTATTGAGGTATTCACACGGGGGAGAGTCACATATCTCGCATCCTTGTACACGGTATTATCACCCTGGGTGGTCACTTGAATCTGAACGCGTCTGAATGGATGTTTAACTTGTTTTTTTTGGTATTCATTGAGATCTATAGCAATGCCTATCTTTTCACGGGTCGTCGAGCTCTCCTAGAAGATATGCCCTGCCTCTAGGGGAGGGCAATGCACTCAATCTCAACGTCAACGTTCTTGGGCAGAGTCTTGACGGCGACGCAGCTGCGGGCGGGTTTGTGGGTGAACCACTTCTCGTACTCGCCGTTCATCTCCTGTCGTGATTGTTAGGGGGGAAATAGAGATGAAAAGACGACAAGGTAACTCACGGCAAAATCGCCCATGTCAGCGAGGAAAATGTTGACCTTGACGACCTTCTCAATGGAGGAGCCAGCCTCGACGAGGACGGCCTTGAGGTTGGAGATGCACTGCTTGGTCTTGTCGGTGACGGAGCCCTCGACGAAGGTGCCCTCGGGGGTGAGAGGGATCTGGCCGGAGCAGTAGATGGCGGTGGGGGTCTTGATGGCCTGGGACTGATTGGGGGGTTCATGATGATTAGATGAGGACTTTTCTCAAGGTGCTCAAGGGTAAACGGGGAGGTATTTTCATACGTAGGGGCCAAGAGCTAGTTGAAATTGATTGTCAGTTTGGGTTGCTCAGAGGCCATGATATTTGGGGATGGGGGTAAAGTACTCACCGGCCGGGGCGTTCTTGGTGAAGACGATGGATTGTTCAGACATCTTTGCTGCGTTAACACTGAAAGGCTGGATGTGGAATTTGGTAATGATGTGTGGTGTTGAGCGGATGGCGGCGGCGCGAGATGAGAGTCTTGTGACGGATCTGAAGAGTGAGGACATTGGAAAGGAAAGGACCATCGCGGGGTTATGAGCAATTGGACAATTGGAGTAAAGATAGATGTAGGGCGGACGCGGCGAATTGAGGGTCTACATATAAAGTTAGAGCTTCACGATTGGACGGGCGGGCTCGGGCGGGGTGCCGTTTGTGGCATGTGTGGTGCGGCACGCCCTCCGTTCTTCGGCGCTGGGCCCGGTGCGGGAGGGGTGGATTGTCGGCGCGGCCAGTTGCGGTTTTGGGATGCTGTCGAACGCGCCTTTCAGCCCTTGTTTGACATGACCTTGCATGATTGTTTGTAAGATTTGCTGTATTGAGGCAGCTGTCTGTGAGATATGTGATGCTGAATCCATAAAATTTCCGCGGCTGTCATATTGTTAAAATTATATCAAAACTACACAGATAGGCGCGGAGACATGGCATTGATCACGGATTCGGAAGAACTTGGACATGTTCAACAGTTCTTGTCGAAATGGCAGGTTATCCTGGGTACCACATCATACAAGGGGGCAGGCATAAGTTCCCAAGTCCCGGGTAACAGCTTGCTTTGCCTGCGCGTACAATGTATCTCTTATAGTGGCATTGTGTCGGAGATTCAGACGCTCCACCGTCCACGAAGCATCATGGGATCCTTATCTTATCGCAGCGGAAGGTGGGAAGAGGTGAGGTGGGCTGGAGCTGCCCTTGCTCTCAATTCTAGGTAAGGAGCCCAGTCTCCCCCAGCCGCCCTTGGAACACTACTCCGAAATTATTAGCACAGCTCCATCCAATGGAATGAACTGAATGCCCGGCAAGGAACCAGAATGAGTGCCTGGGTGCCTGGATGATATTGATGGCTCTCTCACTTTGGCCAAGTGTCCAGTCCTCATGGTGGTCCCTGGAGAGAGAGAAAGAGAGAGAAAGTAATCCCTGAGGTGCCCCAAAAATTATCCCGTTCCCTAGCCTGAGACTACGGATAATAGGGCCATCTGGTCTTCGGGAAGGTTCAGTGTCAGTCTGCAGTCTGCACGTCGTCAGGGGGTCTCCCAAGTTTTTCCGCTAAAGTTCCCGGGGGAGATAATCAATCTTCCTTGTCCATTTTCTGCCTTTTTCTCAAACTTCTTCTCCATTATCGTGAGAATTCGATTCTTCCGGCGGCAATTTTCTTCGTCTTCTTCTTCAAGTCATTCCTTAACGCGTCACCTTTTTACATTGCGTTCCCTTCCTTCTCTTCGACTTTTGTCCAAACGTGACGTGAGGGCTGACGCGCTCCACTTTTCCTCATAGCGTGTAAGTAAGCTACAAGCCCCTGAGCTCGCTCCCTTACAGCTCCAAGGTACCGCGCCTAGTGCGATACGTACCTCCCATCCATTGGATCCAATCCAATCTCATAGGGTCAAACCAGTTGGAGCTATCTGTCCTTCTTCTGTGGTGAACCTGCTCCCCGAGGGAATAAATATCCCCAGCTTGCAAACACCTTCAACCCAAAACTTTTCAGCCTCAAGGCTTGGACTGACAAACCCTTTCCATCGCCGAGCAGCTCCTTCATCGAATTCCCCACGTCCACCCCCCATCATGGCGTCGACGACTGCCACCCCGCAGGGCAGCGTTCGCCAGCGCAACAATGCGAAGCGGCCTACCACGCCAGCCACCGGTGCAGCTGACGCCGTCGTCGAGTCGTTCAACAAGGCCGGTGCAAAGGCCAAGCGCTCCGTCTCCCAGCCCGAATACGGCGTCGGACTTCTCATCACCACCATTCTTGCCTTCGTCACCCGTTTCTGGGGCATCAGCCATCCCAATGAAGTCGTTTTTGACGAAGTTCACTTTGGCAAGGTACGTTGATACTTGTCTCCCGATGGGGAAAAGAAGAAAAGAGAAGATGGAGAGGGAAAAAAAAGTGCAGATTCAGAAATACCAGAACACATGATAGCTAACACTGCCCTTTACCACAGTTTGCCTCCTACTACCTCGAGAGAACCTACTTCTTCGATGTTCACCCTCCGTTCGGAAAGCTCCTCTTTGCCTTTATGGGATGGCTCGTTGGCTACGACGGACACTTCCACTTCGAGAATATTGGCGACTCCTACATCTCCAACAAGGTGCCCTATGTCGCCTTCCGAGCTCTGCCCGCCATTCTCGGCGCATTGACCGTCTCCGTCACCTACCTCATCATGTGGGAGTCCGGCTACAGCTTGCCCGCCTGCCTTTTGGCCGCCGGTCTCGTCTTGCTCGACAACGCTCACATTGGTCAGACGCGTCTGATTCTTCTCGATGCCACTCTCGTCTTCGCCATGGCCTGCAGCTTGCTGTGCTACATCAAGTTCTACAAGCTGCGCCACGAGCCCTTCTCGCGCAAGTGGTGGAAGTGGCTGATCCTCACCGGATTCGCCCTGTCCGCTGATATCTCGACAAAGTACGTTGGACTCTTCGCCTTCGTCACTATTGGCTCCGCTGTGATTATCGATCTCTGGGGCCTTTTGGATATCAAGAGACCCGGCGGTGCCCTGAGTCTCCCCGACTTTGGCAAGCACTTTGCTGCTCGCGCCTTTGGCTTGATCATCATGCCCTTCCTGTTCTACCTCTTCTGGTTCCAGGTCCACTTCGCCGTCCTAACCCGATCTGGTCCTGGCGACGACTTCATGACCCCCGAGTTCCAGGAGACCCTGAGCGACAACGTCATGTTGGCCAACTCCTTGACCGTGGAGTACTACGACAGCATCAGCATCCGCCACAAGGAGACCAAGACCTACCTGCACAGTCACGAGGACCACTACCCTCTGCGATACGATGACGGTCGTGTTTCCAGCCAGGGCCAGCAGGTCACCGGCTACCCTTACAACGACACTAACAACTACTGGCAAATCATTCCCTTGATCGACGACCAGAAGACGGGCAAGGCCGTCAAGAACAACGACGTTGTCCGCCTCAGGCACGTGGGTACCGACACCATGCTGCTGTCCCACGACGTCGCCTCGCCTTACTACCCTACGAACCAGGAGTTCACCACGGTGCCTTTGGCTGATGCGTACGGCGACCGTCTTAACGACACTCTCTTTGAGATCCGCATCGAGAACGGCAAGCCTGGTCAGGAGTTCAAGAGTATCTCGAGTCACTTCAAGTTCATCCACAACCCCAGCAAGGTTGCCATGTGGACGCACACCACTCCTCTGCCGGAATGGGGCCACAAGCAGCAGGAAATCAACGGCAACAAGCAGTTGGCGCCGAGCTCCAATATCTGGTTTGTCGAGGATCTCCCCGCGATCCCCTTGGACTCTAAGAGACGCGAGAAGCCGGAGAAGGAGGTTAAGACCCTGCCCTTCTTCCGCAAGTGGTTCGAGCTTCAGCGCTCCATGTTCTGGCACAACAACCAGTTGACCAGCAGCCATCCGTACGCCAGCCACCCCTACCAGTGGCCCTTCCTGCTTCGCGGTGTCAGCTTCTGGACTCAGAACGACACCCGCCAGCAGATCTACTTCCTCGGTAACCCTATCGGCTGGTGGCTCGCCAGCAGTCTGTTGGCAGTCTTTGCCGGTATCATCGGCGCGGACCAGGTGTCACTTAGACGAGGCATTGACGCTCTTGACCACCGTAAGTACCGTGCGTTTCTTTTTCTGTCTTGAACACCGTCGCTAATCATCAGTAGGTACCCGTTCCCGTTTGTACAACTCTACGGGTTTCTTCTTCCTCGCCTGGGCTACGCACTACTTCCCCTTCTACCTGATGGGCCGTCAACTCTTCCTTCACCATTACCTGCCGGCGCATCTAGCCTCCTGTTTGGTTGCTGGTGCTCTTCTAGAGTTCATTTTTACCGCTGAGCCTGCTCCCGAGGAGGGCTACGAGGCTATCAAGGGCAACAAGAAGGCCGATGGGCCTAAGAGACACATTTCTGCCCGTGAGCGCTTCGCCGGCCAGAGTCTTGCTGGCGCCTGGATCGCTTGCGGCGTTATCCTTCTTATTGCCCTCGCCGGCTGGTACTTCTTCCTGCCCTTGACGTACGGATACCCCGGCCTCACCGTTGAGGAAGTTGTCCGTCGCAAGTGGCTCGGATACGACCTGCACTTTGCCAAATAAAGGGCAAGCCGTGTACATCATGACCCCATGCGGGATTGATACAGATACCTTACTAGAAGATGTTGCCCCAGAAGTCAGATGGGCTCTCACCTCCAACGACCTAGCGTGAACAGGTCAAGGGAAAACAGTGACCACCGAGTTCAGTAGAGGATTAAAATGGGGATGATTGGTGACGTCGAGTGTATTAGTAGTTTTCTTGAGTCCAATGATATACTCCAGATGACCTTTCTTCATGTGAAGCTATGGTGTGCCTGCCTACCTAAGGTACCGGATAGTTTGTGAAAGCATTTCTGTGCATAGCGGGAATCATCAGTCAAACTCATGCAATGCCATGCCTTGGCCCAGTGTCGAGTGTCTTGTCACGCTCGTGTCGGTCGTCGTCTTGTTGCAGGGGTGAGCTGTGCTGTAGCGGCCAATCGCGTGCCTCCCCGTCTTCTCCAGGCTTCCAAAACGGACCCTGTCAGCCCTGCCGGGACCCAATGACACCGCGGCAATGGGCTGCAGGCTGCAGCATAAGGCACCCTAGTGACAGACTGACAATAGCGACCCTTACCTGATCCCTGTGGAAAGCTACCTCCCATTACTGAGCACGTTGACGATTGAGGTCCCCGCAGCGTCCTGGTGTTACCTACCTTACCACTACTCCGTATTATCTTGCAGATAATACGAGATTCTCGCTCGCTCGTCTTGGCCAGTGCAGGAAGGAGCGTGATCGACTTCTCACATCCGGAGGATCCTCTTTTTCCTCTCTTCTGCCTTTCAAGCTGTTTCAATGGCGTCCACGACATACCTCACATTTTCTCCCTTTGCTCACTGACTTATCGTTTATGTTTCTTGTCCTTCGATGCCGGTTCCCCTCCGCTCGAACCACCCGAACCAACGACCACCGACGGTAGCTCGAGCGCACGCCGCCGACCTCACCTCCGAGAAAAGACAGATAAAAAAAAACAGACCATGGGCCTCCTCAACGGCCTTCGCCTGAGCGCCCGCCGCCTCCTCCGCTCTCGCGCCTTCCGCAACATCGCCCTCCTCCTGACGCTCTACATCTTCCTCGACGCCCTCCGCTACCAGCGCCGCATCACCTCGGCCCCGCGCCACGACCCAACCCGCCCGCGGCGCGCGGAGCGGGTGTACATCGCCGGCATGCACTACAACGACGCCTCCGTGATCCGGACGCACTGGAACAAGGCGGTGCTGGACCTCGTCGAGGCGCTGGGGCGGGACAACGTCTATGTCTCGGTCTACGAGAGCGGGAGCTGGGACGATACCAAGGCGGCGCTGCGGGAGCTGGACGGGGTGTTGGGGAAGAGGGGGGTGAGGAGGAATGTTGTGCTGGATGAGAGGACGCATGCGCAGGAGGTGGAGGAGGTTCCGGCGGAGGGAGAGGAGCGGGAGGGGTGGATTCGGACACCGAGGGGCAAGCGGGAGATGAGAAGGATACCGTTTCTTGCGAGGTTGAGGAATTTGACGTTGCGGGATTTGTGGAAGTTGGGGGAGGAGGGGGAGATGTTTGATACGGTGCTTTTTTTGAATGATGTTGTGTTTACGGTGAGATTGTCTCTCTCTCCTTCTCAACACGGGTATTCTGCATGCGATCAAGGAGAGGCTAACACCAAGTCACAGACCGACGACGTCCTCGCGCTGCTCGATACCAACGGCGGCCTCTACGCCGCAGCCTGCTCACTCGACTTTGCCCACCCGCCATCCTACTACGACACGTTCGCGCTGCGCGACTCGGCGGGACAGGCGACGCTGATGCAGCGGTGGCCGTACTTCCGCTCCGAGGCGAGCCGGCTCGCGATGATGGCGTACTCGGACGCCGTGCCCGTGCGGAGCTGCTGGAACGGGATCGTTGCGATGCCGGCGGCGCCCTTTCTCGCGAACCGGGGCAAGAGGCTCGAATTTCGCGGGGTGGAGGATTCGTTGGCGGAGGAGGCGCATCTCGAGGCGAGCGAGTGCTGTCTCGTGCATGTTGATAATCCGTTGACGCGGGAGTTGGGGGTGTTTGTGAATCCGAGGGTGAGGGTGGGGTATTCGCCTGCTGCGTATGAGGCTGTGAATCCGGCTGGGGGGGGCAGTTGGCTTTCTGTGTGGAGGATTGTGGTGGGTGTTTGGGAGGGGAGGGTTAGGAGGGCTTTGACGAGTGAGAGGGTTAAGGAGTGGGTTGTTAGGAAGAGGGTTGGGGAGTGGGAGGCGCGTGGAGGTGGTGATCAGAAGAAGAGGAGCGAGAAGGGGGTTGATTGTTTGATTAATGAGGGGCAGGTGCTTGTGTACAATGGATGGGCTCATGTATGAGGAAGAGGATAGGGAAGCTGAGGACGAGGATGGAAGAGGAAAAAGATACCCATTGGATGTGTTGTTTAGGTTTCTATAGATGTTGTATATGGTGTACAGAAGTCAAGACGCCCATGTTCTTCCTGTTGGCTTCCTGGTCCGACTACATACAGGTATTAGATGGTCTCAAAAGACTAGAAAAAGAGTTTAACCCCCCCGGTGTTGAACGGGGGGCTACATCTCTTGGTGCTCGCGCTGGGATTTACTGTTGACCATATACCACTCCCCCACCTATCCCAGTTTGACCTGACCCGTCGGCCTAGACGAGCGCCTGCTGGTTGTGGTGACGAAATTGGGATTGAGGGGGGGGTATATACCTTTGGTCCTATCGTACATTCAGACTATTCCTATTCCCATTCTACGGTATGGTAAACAGGTACTCATGCTAGAACAAAATGCCTCCTTGATGTACAGTTCTAGTCTTCCTTTCTTCCTTCCTTCTCTGGGGCCACTCGATGAGAATTACAGACTTTTTCGAAATGGGTTGAGTTAAGTTATCGTCAATTTCTTACTGGCCCTTTCTACCTCACTCGATAATCATGTTTGACCTGGTAGCAACTACTCGCGCCCCAATCTCGTTGAAGAACCGCCGCAGTTCCGGGTCCTCGCCCGTCTCTTCGTCGACCAGAACCGCGGTGGTAGTAGTCTCTTCGCCAGTGGTATCGATTTCTCGAAAGTTATGTGACCTTCTGAGCGTGGGTTTCTTTCTCGGTATGTTTAGCGGTCTGACGCGGAGGTCTGTCTCTGGCTGTTCCGGATCGAAGTCTGTAGGCGGATCGTATATGTCATCGTCCTCGTCGTCTTCGTCATCGGAGAACGTCATGAGGTCCTCTGATGGTTGAGACGTCGTCACCGCTAGGGGGATACCACCATGCTCCTCCCAGTCCTGTTCTGCGGTGAACGTTTCGGGGTATAAGGGGCTAACGAGGTACGACCCATCATCAACTGGATGCCCTGCTTCCATCTCATCGACGAGCCCGTCATACATTCCCTCCACGTTACCCCCATTCTCGTCCCCATCTTCATCCATATCGTCATTCTCATACACCCCTCCATCCTCAACATCCATCTCAACTTCATCATCAACACCAACACAGCATCTCAGCCCGCTCCCTCCCCCACTTCGACTCCCCTGATCTCGAATCCTCAACTTCGTACCAAAGTCCTCCTCCTCCGGATCAGCAAGCAACTCCAACAACGTCCCCTCCTCATCGAGCAGATTACACTCCCTCGCCACGCCCAGCGCCCCAGACGCCGCGGCAGCAACCAGCCGCCCGCCCAGCCCGGAGCTCACGACCCTCGGGACGTCGTTCATCTGCAGCACGTCGAGGAGCGAGATGCCGTGCGTGCTGAGCTCGTGCAGCTGCGCCGAGGTAAGGTACCCCCGCCTCTCTGCATCAGCGGCGCGGAGTTTTCGAAAGGCGGGGAGGGCTGTCGAGATTCGTCTGTGCGAAGGGGACGTTGAGAATGACGGAGATGAAGGGGATGGTAGAGGGGAGTGGAAGTCTACTACGGCGAGCATGTCGTTGATGGCGTCTGCTGACCACTGCACGGAGCGTATAGCTTGGAGGAGGCAGGTGTACTCGCGCCTGCGCGGGTGGGAGGGGAAGTTTTGGGCGTATTCTCCTGATCTTGGGGTTAGGGGCAGAGGTAGAATGGGTTCGATGAGGTCGGTTTGGGGTTCGAGGGGGTTTATGGAGGGGGAGGGGATGCAGTGGAGGGTTAGGTAGCGGAGGATGTTTGCGTTGCGGGCGAGGTGGGCTTGGAGCGTGTTGTAAGGGGTTATTAGGGGAAGGGAGAGGCCGCGGGCGATTGTGGTGAGAGGGATGAGGGCGGATGGGGAGGAAGGGTGGTAGGGGGGGAGGAAGTATTTGTTGGTTGTTGGGGAGAGGGGGTGGGAGGAGGTTGCGGTTGCGTAGATGTCTAGAAGATCGTCAATCTCTTCTTCATCTTCTTCATCCTCGCTTGAAGAGGTAGGGGGTATCTTTGAGGTTGGGGAGAGAGAGGCTTCATTTTCCGAGGAGTTTTCGAAGGAGCGTCGCAGGGATGTCGGTGATGTTGGCGTTGATATCCAGTGTTCGTCTTCCACGGTGGTTGATTGGAAGAAGTGGCTCGTATTGTCAAAGACGGCTCTCATAGGCGTGTCACCGAAACCACCGAAACCACCTTCTTCCGATGTGAAGCTGTCCGCTTTCTCGGCCGCGTAAGACGCCTCGGAAAAGGTAAGGGCTTGGAGACTATATTTCAACGAATCTTTCCGGGCAGGGATCGTTGACAACCTGTCTGATGCTGTGTTGAAATCCTCTTCTTCTCTGGTGATGCTCGTCACCAAAGCCTGGGGGCGAATATCAGAATAACTAGATCTCTCGTTATCGTCGTACCAGCCCAGTCCGGTAATAGGACGAACAATCTCGTGAGCCGCTGTCGGGGGGGGATTCTCCTCTCCATCAGCACCAGTCTGCCACCCCTCAAACTCTTCAGGAAAGGAGCTCAATATGTCCCCAATCGACTTCTCATTTTCCTCTCCCTGTAAGTCGACGGTGTCATACTCGGAGAAACCAAACAACACTTCCGTATTCGGCGTGAAGGAGCTCGACTCTTCCTTGCTCATCTGCTCATCCCCATTCCCATCGACTACATCCGCCCCCGAGATCAAGGGGCTTAGAACCCTCGCCTCTTCAACCATGCTCCTCAGATCCTCAAAGTAGAGCGACGGCAGATGGGGCCGACTCCCCTCACCATCAGAGGGGTCTTCTTCCGCAGCGGACGTCTCTTCACTGGAATAATCGACCAACGTCATCTCCATCCCCTCTTCCCTCGCCGTCAACGATCTCCCAGGCCCCTCGACCGTCATCAAACAAACCGAGACCGCGCCGTTGGTCGGGTACGAACGAAGCCCGTCTCTCATAATCTCCCCACACATTTCGAAAGAAGGCATCACTTCCCTCTTCATCTCCCCCTTTTGCGCCTCCGACCTGTGACGTCGATAATTAGCACCGTCTTTTCCCTCTTGATCACCACACGAAGCACCAACGGCCTGTGATCCGCGCCGGCCATGGCTGTGACGAATTACCTCTTCCGCTTCATCGCGCTCCTCTTCAAGCTCCTCTTCCTCTTCATCACGTCCCCTGCCTCCAGATTCGCACCTATATCCACCGCCCTTCCAATCCTCAAACTCTTGCCCGTCGACGTCGTCGTCGTACGGCTCCCAACCCGCCACCGCGTTCCGGCGGTGGTCCTCTTCAGCGGGAGAGAGAACGAAGTCATCGTCGTATTCAGTGGTCCCTTCTCCTCCCCTCCCGTAGACCGTCGTCGTGGTTCCGAACCGAACGTGTAGCGCGTCGTCGTCCGAACTGAGGTACTTGAGCTTGTCACTCCTTCTCCTCACTCGCCGTTCAGAGCCTTCCGTCCACCGGATGAGCTCGACGAGCGCTGCGGGGGACTCACCTCTGAGCAACGACTCTGTCTCCTCGACGCCTTGGGCTGGAGGGGCCGAGGGGCGATGCGGTTGGGTTTCTGTCGGTGACGAGTCATCGCATGCGGAGGAATCGGGTGCGTCGTAGATGTACATTCCTTTAGTTTGGTTGTGTTGGGATTGATGTTCGTCTCCGTGGGCTTGATCGGTGGTGGGAGAGTAACATTCCATCGTCTTGGTCGTCGTCGTTGTCGTGGGGCAGTGACGGTAGGGTTCGCGTGATGATCTCAAGGATCTGCTTCTGTTGGACGTCCAGCGTCCTAGTGATGGCCAGGTGAAACCCATTGTTCCTTGAAATAAGAACCAACTTGTTTTCCTGTAATTGTCTTGTTAGGTCTAAGGAAACAAGAATTGGTAAGAGTAGAGAAAGTCGAAGGGGAAGTAACGTACATTCAATGATGGAAATGGGTTGGGCTGACCCCTTTTTTACTCAGATGGAACTCAAGGAAGGGGGTCTTTTCCCTTCTTGTTGCCTTTACTTGTTACCAGAGACCGGGCATGCGCCTGATAAAGAAGCAACCCTTTACTAATCCCTTGCTCGTGGGTCAAAAGGGAAGGGAAGGCACCAAAACTCGTGCTATCAAAGAGACATGGGTGTCCCGTGAGACTCTTTGCCTTTCCATTGTCCTCGAATAGGCTTGTAACGGAAGTTAGGCCGGTTCTCGGGGCCTGGAACAGCTTCGAAACGAACATGACAATAATGTTGTGTACCGTCTTTTGATCTTGTGGAATCTCGGCCTCCATTTTTGGGAAGATCCAAAGGGTTTTTTTTTTTTTGAAACATCGACTTTCTTCAATAACAAAACGGCAGTCGGACCTGGTTTCTAGATCCGTGCCTTCACCAGTCAAGGGCAAGAAGAAGGGAAACAAATCCAGGGCAAACATGAAGGCCCAGACGTTTTCTCCGAGAACCCTCCTCGAACGGAGCAGAGTTTCCAGGAAAAGAACGACGGATATGCCGGAAGAAGGAAACCCTTTGTTCTGTGACAATTGGAAGCAGGTCGCACTGTTGCAATTGTTCTCGACGACGTCTAGCCGGCTGATTTACTTCAAAATACCCGCCTGTTCCTTTGAGTCTCTCTTCCCCCAGTAAAGAAAAACTCTGAAGGACGAATAGGTATATCTGCTCGGCTTCAAATTGTACAACAAGAAATGCGATAACACGGGGAAAATGGTATGGGCTGCCTCGAAGCTACCAGATAGTTGCTGCCCAGGTATTCAGCAAGCAATGATCTAAGCCATCTGTGACATCTACGTCTAAGTAAAGACCACTCGAAGTGAACAATACGGTTGTCGAGCGTCACAACTAAGAGACACAAACCATGATTCGAAGACAGAGGTTTTGTGATAGTCAATCGTCTACATCTTCTTTTGAAAGAAATATAAGGATCAAGTTGAATCAAAACACAAGACATTATCCCAGCCTCCTTGTTCCTATACCTCCCAACTTACCTTTCCTCGTCGACACAAAAAGTGCGAGTCAAGTCCTCTCTCCGTCTCCCGGCGCAGGAAAGAAGAAGAAAATGTTTTGAGAAGCCAATCGTATACACCAGCCACGAATCGAAATAACACCGTTGTCTGCCTCCAGAGGCTTTTCAAAGTCTCGGAACTAACGCAACCTCATTCCCATTATCGACTTCAGGCAAACGTATACATATCATAGAGGTACGTAAATTTTAAACTATCACCGTGGAACTCAGTGCAAGCCCCCAAAGACGAAAAAATGTGCTGGGAAAAACAAATAATCTACACAGACTGCCACCACAGCGTCTTTGAAAACGTATACTGCGCAGACCACAAATCCCGAAAACTCAACTACGTGTCAAGCTTCACGTCCTCTTCCGTCAACTCGATTCAGAACCACAACAGAGCACGCCAAAAGCGCAAAAACCCTTCCTGGATATTCCTCCTCTGCCCATGCTTCACCTGTCCCTCCACGCCACCACCACAAGCTCACGAATCCTTCAAATCCAGCACCTGCCGCGGAAGAAAACGCTGCCTGAGCCCCGTGGGCGGAAAGTGTCTCCGCTGCGTCCAAGAAAAGGCCGTCGCGGCGATGCAGGCCGTTCCGTCGACGCCGGCGCCGAGCAGGACGCGGCAGCACCACCACCAGCGTCAGCAGCAGCAGAGACGTCCGGATTTGAGGGGTACTGGTAGGAATGATGCTTACGGTGCTCCAGGAGATCGGGGGCCAAAGGCCTCGCGGCCAAGGGAGCATGTGCGTCGGTATCAGGACCCGGGGACTCCGGAGCGGCCGAGGAGTGGCCGCGATGGCAACGGTACGAGTAGAGACGATAGAGGCGGTGTTGCTGATGCAGCTCTACAGAGTTTGAGAGACAAATCTCCAACCTCACCGTGGTTCAATAAGCGATTTCACGAGGCCCGCGCACGGGAAACCTCCCAGCAGCATCGTCGAAGAGAGAACCAAGGGGCCCATCAACCCTACCATCATCATCAGCAACGGCCGCAAGAGCAGCGGATACCGGTAAGTCACCAAAGACAACAGCAGCAGCAGCATCATCAACAACACCAGGGACCAAGTGGTCCTACATCTCATCCTCCCCCCCAACCCTCGCCGATACCCTCATGCGTCCGTGAATCCACGTTCCACCTCCTCCCCGCGCCCCTGAAAATCAAGAAGAAAACTATTAAACAAGAGACGTCACTCCGCGCGGCGAAAGGGACGGCCGAGGGAACCGGAGGGCTAACCCGTAGTACCACGCACGCAAGCCGTCCTCTACAAGTGAACGCCACCCATGAGACAGGAGAAGCACGGAGCAGCCGGGATCAGCAGCAGGAGGACCACCACCGCCGCGCAGTAGTCAGCAGCAGCCCAGAGCCACGCATCGAAGGAGCGGGATGGACCCCTGAGTTGCCACTGGAGGAGCTGATGGACGAGGTCGAGATGCTGTGGCGGAGAGTCCCTAATTAGAGAGCGACGGCGAGCTTCAGCCGCGTGGCTGGTGAAGGGGGGGGAGGGAGAGTGGTAGGGGGAGTATTCCTCTGACTAGAAAGTAGAGAAATAGAGTAGGCCATGTTTCCTGCGATCTGGCCATCCTTGTCCCTAGCTGGCACATCGTCTCCCACAGAAATCATAGTGTGTGCCATGTTTGAGGGCCACTTGAAAGAAAGGTTCAACTTGGAGGCCCATTGGGAATCTGACGTGCATGACTTGGGAACGGATTAAACCTTCAAAGGGTCTAGTGGAAGGAAGCAAAGTCAAGGCAGAGAGAATAAACAACACCAGTGTCATAATGCTTCCTGGTTTCTTTGCGTTGATGCAGATTCGTGGCCTCTGTGTTAGTCCAATCAATGACGGGGTTTTCTCTAGATCCGTTTGACACAAGCTCTTAACTATTGTGCGTCAGGTGGAAACGAACGTGGTCTCGGGAAATGGGTGTGTGTCTGTCTACTGCATCGGTTCAAAGATGCGAGGAACGGTACGTATCGCAATTACTGGTCCAACAAAGAAGCCGAAATGCTGATGCCTTGTTACGACGCGGCTGGACGTCCTGGCAAGAAAAATAGGAAGAGTGGCCGCAATTGATCGGCGAAGCGGAGTTTGGTGATAGGCTGCTCTATTTCCACAAAGCTGATTGGCCAAGAAGGACACCCATAGGGCTGACCGGCGGGCAGACAGTTGGGGTCGGAATCGTTGATTCGTGACCACCTACGTGTCGTCGATACACGATGGGCTTCTTGAGCCAATGGGACAGCAACGCAGGCTTTGCGGATGAACCGATACCCGTTGGAATGAGGGGTGGTTCCTAACAAGTCCTAAACTTGCATTCTTTTCTAGGGTCCTGGAATACGGGGTGCGGGATTCGGCGTGTTCAGGAACGGCCATGTAGGTACTGACAAGGCGGCTAAGTAATTGAGTGCACAGTATGCCACGATGGGACGCCGCCTCTCTCCTGCGTTCGGGGTAAGTGACTGTGTGTGGACGGTGAGCCGGGAACCGATTTTGAGTCAAAAAGCTTGCTTGCTTTGAGTTTCTTGCTTCTTTCGTCCGTTGGTAAACACCTTGGATTGGCTTGAATTGGAGACTTTTAGAGTCACTGGGACAGGTGGACAGCCACGCCAGCCCTACGTGTGGAGAGGGATCTGGAGGGTTGTGCGAGTGCGAGTGGTGATGGTGATGGTGGTGAGCAATTGGTTGACCAAGGTTCGTTTGAATGTGTTCCTGCGAGCAGACGCGCATCCGTCATGCGACTTTCCCTGCGCCAAAGTCCTGTGCAGCAAATGAGCATACACGACAAGACTACGAATCCCTAGGTACGGATTTCGTTGGTGATGTGCGCAACCGCGCAATCCAGCACCGTCAGAGCAAAGCGCCAAGCTTCAACCAACGCAAGCTAGGTGACGACTGACGAGTCAAGACATGCAGGTCCATGTTGCTCTTCATGCTCGTGTCCCAAACTCCCAGACCCCAAGAGTCCCTGAATCTTGATTAGGTGAAATGCGAACGGTCACTCGTGCGAAGCGGCGAGTTACTACTCGTAACCCGCACCAGAGTCCAGAGATTCAAAATTCTCATTATTCAAACTGTAACCCTGTTACCGCGTGCTCTGTCCCGAACGTCATTCGGCCAACCCAGACCCAGACTGGTGGGCTTTGCTTGGCTAATCAGACTGGATATGTAATCTTGGTGGGTGGGATAGAGAACCAGAGCGCCCGCTGGCCATTCCGACCCCTGCCTGTCCTGTGGTCTAGTGACCAGGCCGGACGAAAATGCCGACCTTGACCGGAAGTTGAAGCAAAGCTTTTGTCTGTTCTGTCGTTTCTCCTCTCCTGGTCCGTGGATGAGCTGGCTCGATCGGCCCCCAACAGTAAGCAGAGGCCATGGCAGTTGGTCCGCAGTGGACCGTTTTCAATAAACTCCACATGTCACGGGCCACGGGTTGATGGAGACCGGCGATAGGTATCAGCAACGGGCGAGAAATGGTATCCGTACTTCGTACGAGCGCCAAGGGCGTCATTGGTCAATTTCCGCGTTGAAGGGTGACATAATGAGAGGGTTGGTGTTGGTCTCAATTCAAACTGGGCCCTTGTCTGCCGTTTTTGGCAAACGCAAGGGGAGCCCTGATCTACTCATCGTTCAGCAGGCCTGTCGAAAGACACTCCGTCCAGCAGGTGAGTGGATGGCAGCATGGCATGGCTGCGACCTTGAGGGCCTGCGGAGGAGGCTGAGGGCTCTTTGAGACTTTGAGTGACAGAAGCGCGGAATTTGGAGTATGTAAGACCAGCCAACAGTTCGCTTGAGAATGGTCCCAGGTTGGCGGAGAATGAAACGACCCAGTGGGAAGTCATGGATCGGGCTGGCGGGTGGAGATTGATGAGCGGGTTAGCTTTGGGACTTTGGTTCTGATGGGCTGATCTCGACGGGGGTAAGCGAGAGAGACTCAGAGAGTCTCAAGAGAGAGGCCAAATTAAGTCTAATCCCTGACCTAGTTTCCGAGTGTAAAAAAGGTACCGTGCATGAGACTATGAGTCCCTCTCCAGTCTTGCCCAGTCTTGTTCGTGTCTTGGTTCTCTTGAGGACTCTTAGCTTGCCGCCCTACCGTTAGCGGTCTCAAAGCCACGACCGGTGCAACAGGTGTGCATGAGGAAGAGCAATAAGAGTGAGCTATGCTGTGCTGTGCTGTGCTGTGCTCTATTGGTATGGTGGTATGGCACGGAGGAGTGCTGTGCAATGCCGTATTGTGAGAATAGATGACATTGGTGACTGGCGAGCTTGGCTATGCAGGATGCGTTTCTGGTCATTCGTATGTTGATCTGGACGAATGTGTCCCGACTCTCACGACGCAGGTGAGGCTGTACAGCCGAATCGTCTCCTTGGGGTTTCGAGTGTACGATACGGAATACTGTGGGCAACGTCAAGAGATGAGGATGCCCAATAGCCCACTTCAGCTCATCTTCAGCGGTGCATGTTGAAACTTGATCGAACCTTGCGATACACCCTAACTGCGGTCACGCCTTGCTGTCTTCTCCATTTGTGAGGTGACTCTGTGCAAGTACCTACTTCGCAGGGGGACTCAGGGAGATGTTCTGGCGCCCGTCCGGCTGGCGCACCCTGCTTTCGAATACAGTACCGGACCAGACCCTTGCGTTTCCCGCTTCTCGGGACCCATCTAGATTTGCGAGCTGGAGAAGGCAGCCGTCAATCCGACACACCGTTCCGGCGTAATGCACTCTGTATTATCTGTAATTTGAGATGGGTTTGCGTTTCCCGCCCCTCGAACGGAGCATTCAGGGACCAGAGAATTCGTCTGCCTTAGGTGAGGTGCGCGGCGGTATGGATGATGAATAGGTGCCATGCACAATGGTGAAGAGTAGGTATTCGTGCCAGGGCTCCCGAAGAGTGACAAAACAGCAGTGAAGGTGACAAGCTGCGGCAGCAACAACAATAACAACACCAGACACGGAGTCGGAATCGGGGCCATTGGCTGGTTGAGGTTCCATTATTTTGCTGACAGCAGCATCATTGGTAGCATGGGCGGTCGAGTTGCAGTGCAAGGTGTTCATTTCTGACACCCAGTGAACCCAGTGACCCAGCGAAGACAGCTAGCTTGTGGTATTCCGGGTTGCCGTTACTCTGGCGGCTGGATGTCTCTTAATGAGGCAGAGTAATGGTGATGGTATCATTGCTGGGAGGGAAGTTGATGCGAGGTGGTGAGAGGTAGTCGGTGCTAATCATGTGCTTTGATGCTTGATTCGGGGGGGGGGGCTGTGCTCATGGGTTTGTCCACCGCCGTGCAGTTTGGGCAGCGGGCTGCAGAGCTGCGGTGACGCTAACAGCGGGTCTTTCAATGTTCAGTTGGAACGGAATGAGGTGCAGCCAACATCGTTTGGAGCAAGTGGAGTTTGGCTTGGTGTCCGTACGAAGTGCTAGGTAAGGTGCCGGCGGGCGGTCTTAACGGAAAATACTGGCGACAAGTCTTCGTTTGCAATTTGGACGAATGAAGTATCGCAAAGAGACGAGGCGATGGGACTCTGGAGGTTGAGACCGAGGAGACCGAGGATGGGACTGACAGCCGTGGGAGACGATGGAATTCAATGGGCAGTAAGGTACGGATACGGAGTAAGGTATGGAGTACGTACCGAAGGTAGTTGGTGGGGTTCAAGGTTGGAGGGTACCTGGGGAGCGGTACGTATCTTTTGATTATGAGGTAAGGAAGGTGGTGACTGGGGGTTGGATCCTTCCTGATCCGCAAAGCCCAGACTCCGCCTCCACTGGTCGGCGGCGACCTTCTCCCATTGGCTAGTCGATTAGGCAGCAGCCTTTCGCCCCGGGCGCTCTCTTCAGAGTTTCTGGTCCGCTCATTCTCAATTGTCGCTCCCCGTTCGGCTTTCAGCGTTCAGCGCAGCAGCGCTCTCTCTCTCCACCTGTGCTCGTTAGGTTGGCTGCTGGACTCTCACTCTCACTCCCGTCTGCTCACTGCTCCAGGGCTGCTTTTCTAATCAACCACCTCGACGACCTTCGACCCCCCCGGTACACCAAACAACCACCTCCTCGCTCGCGACCACCACACGCCTCTTCTTTCTCCTTCCACCCACCCTCAGTCCTCGACCGTATCCTTTTCCTCCTCCTGCTTTTCTTCCTCATTTTTTTTTTTGCTGTCCTTGATTTCTAGGACATCCAAGCCGCATACTTACTCGACACCAAACCCAATCCCGTCTTGTCCCACTGAGGCCGCCGCACTTCAGTCCGCTTCTTCCTCTACCCTCCTCGTCTCCAGCTTTTCCTCCTGGATACACATCCTTAAAGAATATCGCACACAGCAAACTCCCACCACCTACGTCTGCCCTTCTTCATCCTCGTGTGCATACGCCGACGCGTACGACAGCTGGGACGAAAAGGCGCATTATCGCACACTGTCTTGCTCCTCTACCCGCAGACAGACCCCTCAAAATCAGGCAGACTTCAACAGCCTAGACTTAAATCCACCACCTGCTCTGCTCGCTCTTCGCTTTGTCTGGCCTCCCGTTGTCATCCATCGCAACATCGTTATCGCCTTCGATACCATCTCTCATCTCAACGTAAGGCCCCGTCCCTTCCTCTTCGTCTTTCCCCTCTTCATCCACTTGTCCACACAATCTCCGTCTCAAACCTATCCCGCCACTTCATCACATTGGCCAATCCTAAACCTTGGGCTTGCTCAAGAGTCTACTAGGACTACCACTTCAGACCTACCAGTGAGGTCCTGGTCGTGACTCACACTCCGTGTCCTATTCAGCCCTACAACTCGACGAACCCTCAAGAGATCTAACACATCCTAGCCGACAGAGTTCTGGACACCCGTGTCATCACCGTCACCATGTCCGTCTCCGTCAACCCTCGACGCAGGACTCCGGTGACTCGCCCGGAGTCTCCTGCCGGCACTGGCCTCACTCTTAAGACCAACAGCCTCCGCAAGGGCGCTACCTTCCACTCTCCCACCAGTCCTACCTCTTCTCTGGACGATGCCTTGACTGCTGCCCCTCCAAGCCTGAGACGCTCCCAGACCAACCTGGACGACGTTGTCGACGCCCACTGCCGCCGCATGGCCTTGATTGTCGACGACATTGACAAGTCGCTTGCCAACATCACCCTTGTCTCCCCCAAGACCAAGTCTTTCCGCGACGACAGCCTTCCCGTTCCCAGAGGCTTCCTCAACCTGCCCGTTGTCGACCCCGCCATGGCAAAGGAAAAGTCAAAGGAGACGGAACGTCGCATTCTGCGTCCCAGAACCCGCCGTTCCTCGAGACATCATGAATCAGACAGCGGACTCGGAACCTCTGTCGCACCCACCACTGAGACAGAGCCTGCAACCACTGCATCAAAGAAGGCATCCGCCATCACCAGGTCCGCTGCCAACACTTCTTCTGCCACCATGGAGAAGCTTCCCGCTCTCAGCTCCAAGGCTGTCAACCGCATCCACGAGCACGTCCTTCGCCCTCTCAGGGCCAAGCCTGCTCTCAAGGACTTTGAGCCGATTGTTCTTGACATCCCCAGACGCATCAGAGAGAAGGAGATCATCTGCTTGAGGGATCTCGAAAAGACACTTATTTTCATGGCACCCGTAAGTCATTCACTAATTGAAACTGGAAACTGGGCAATTACTTATCGATCGTTGATGAAGGAGAGGACAAAGACCGCCGCCTTGTACCTCGATTTCTGCCTGACGTCGATCCACTGCATTCAAGCAACCGTGGAATACCTAAGCGACCGAGAACAGACTCGACCCAACGACCGCCCTTACACTAACGGATACTTCATCGATCTCGTGGAACAGATTCGCCAATACGCAGGACAACTTGCTGCCGCCAAGGAGACTGGATCAGACGCTGCCGAGATGGACGTCGACCCGTACGACACCCGTGCCCAACTTGCCCCTCACTCAACTGACATATTCTGTAGTACCGACGAGATTAAGCTCTTTGGAGGCATCGCTGACAATGGCCGCCCGGCCGAGCTTATCCGCATTCGCAAGGACGGAAAGGCTATTTCTATGGCCACTGGTCTGGAGGTCGATCTGGATGACCCCAAGAGCCCCATTCAGATGAAGCGCTCATTGAGCCAGCAGTTGGAGGACGACGAGGAGATCATGCGTTCCATGGCCCGTCGCAAGAAGAACGCCAGCCCTGAGGAGCTTGCGCCCAAGAAGTGCCGTGAGCCTGGCTGCAACAAGGAGTTCAAGCGTCCCTGCGACCTGACCAAGCACGAGAAGACCCACTCTCGTCCTTGGAAGTGCCCCGTCTCTTCATGCAAATATCACAACTACGGCTGGCCGACGGAGAAGGAGATGGACCGCCACCACAACGACAAGCACTCGTCAGCCCCGCCCATGTACGAGTGCTTGTACAAGCCCTGCCCGTACAAGTCCAAGCGGGAGTCAAACTGCAAACAGCACATGGAAAAGGCCCATGGCTGGCAATACGTTCGCACCAAGACCAACGGCAAGAAGCCTTCGAGCGTCGCCGGCAGTGTCACTCACTCCACCCCTCTGCTCAACCAAATGCCTACTCCCTCTACAAGCAGTGCCGCTACCCCGCCTGCTCCGCTGGACCAGGCTCAGCAGTTCAACTTCAACGACCCTCTCCTGGCTCCCATGCATCCCATCGGCCCCGTGGGCGACTTTGCTTCCCATATCGATGGCATGGAGTTCCCTTCCTACATCTCGGACGAGGAATTCGACCAAATGGTTGGCGGTGGATTCGATGGACAGATGGATTTGGAGATGTCCCTGTCTCCTTCCGACCACAACACCCCTGCCACCGAAATCTCGAACGGCCCGTATATTTACCAGGACGGTCCCGACTTTACTGTGAACGAGGACATTTACGGTGCACACGCTCAGATTCCCACTCCAGACAGAGCCGTCTTCGCTCAGAAGGAGCTAAACATGGCTTTCCCCATCTACCAGCCTGCTCCTGCTTGCCAGCCTCAGATTGCTCCTGTTCAGACAGCACCACACATCTCTCCTATTGGCCAGGGCAACGCGATGCTCTTCACGCCAAACTCGTTGGCCGAAGTCGATGAGGGCTTCGAGGACAACTACACTGGTGGTGGAAACGAGTTTTGCGGCAACGACTTCCAGCTGTTCCCCGCCAACAATGTGACCAAAATGTACGAGCCACTCTTTGGCGAAGTGCCAAGTGCTGGCTTGGGATACTCGCAAGCGTCACAGGACCCGTTCCAGTCTATCGACTGGAACCTGGATTACCAGAACTTTCAAAGCCAGTAAATGTTTACTAGGGCTTGGTGTTGGAAACTTGTGACAAAAACGTTGATCTGGCGCGGGGCCAGCTAATGATTTGATGACTGGATGGATTGGAGGAGGTCGCATGTTCGACCTTTCCTCTTTTGCGCACTTTGTATTATTGATCTCGCACATCTACTCTGCTTGCTCTAGGACTTGTCTTGTTTCTCATTTTTGATTCACATGAGATTGACGATAGAGAATATGGTTTTGTGTAGCGGGATACGTGGTGGTAGCGCAGACGGACAAGACAGAGGGTCTTGGTTTGGCACCCTACGATTTGAGGAAGAGGGTCTAGAGACATATCTCGCTCAATTTGATATGGCAATTTGGAAGCCACAAAAACAGAAACGTCTCCGAGTGCCCGTTGAGAAATGCTATGAGATGATTCACTGAAGTGACTATCACTGCGTAGTCTCTCGTGTTCACTGATGGACAGTTTGCTCTGGGTCCTCAGGGGCAAAGAACAAAAAAAAAACCACACCAACACCAAAAACATGGAGCAAAGGCACCACAGCTCTAGGAGTGAAACTTTGGAGAGCAGCGCGCCGAAACTGATTCGGGTCCCCGCGGGGAGAGGTACATGAATGACGTGGTGGTGGTGGTAGCCATCGGTGTGAGTCTTTGCGGCGAAGCCAAGTGTCTTACTTCCCTCAATGTCAGAAGACACACGGGGAAGATCCGGGTGTGGTATATTTGGCCTCACCTCCCGATCGGGCCACGAGACATGGACTAGGTACAAAGAGATTTGAGGATACGATCTACATCTGAACACGATGAAAGGGATTTAGGGTCTCAGGTATTTTGGAAAGGATGTTTTGAGTCAATTTGCCCTTGCACGGGGTTTTTTGCTTGGTTGTTTGGACAGACTGATTTGATGGTGGACATTTTGGAGGAACAAAACGGAAGTAGATAGATACCCCCCCTCTCCCCCAAACATCCAAAAAAAAAAAAAAAAAAAAAGGTAGATAGGACAAATCTCAGCGCTTACTGTGTGAGACATGTGTGTTTGGTTCAGCTTTGATTATGACTTTGAGTGCAGTGTAGGTATGCCGTTGTCAGCAATGTGGCTGTTCGTACCGTGTCTGATGCCCGTTGGACCGATTTCCGTCCGAGTCGGGAAACGGATAGAGTCTATGGAGTACACATCAAGTGACACGACGACACTGACTTTCCCACCCGGCGGAATTAGTTGTGTGAACATGCGAGAAGAACGCATTGGAACAACCCAAGTTCAGTAAGAGGGCCCTATTTCTGAGAGTATACATTCCGTCGTGGACAGTATTCCCAGATGAACATGCGTATCACTGTCGGGAAGTTTGCTCTGGGATTATGTGCTGCCTCACCTTATGTAAGCCGACTTTTTCCTGAGTTGGTCCTGAGGTTAGAACTTGGAAGGACCCGACCAGGTTGGCCCGCTCAAGAGCTCCCGTCCCCGTGCCCCACCTTCATCACCTTTTCTCCCAAAAAAACGCGGCTGCGAATTTTTTCCCCAACCTCACCTTCACCTTACCTCAACCCCGAGGTATCGTCACCGCCGGACACCTTTGCACCCACGATCTTCGACCTACGACGCGAGCGTTACTTTTCGTCTCTTCTTAGATTGTTATACAGACAATCTATTTGCGCAAGTCTGCGAAGAAGAAAGGTAAGCTTCATTTCCACTACATTTATTTCGAAATATTCCTTCCCCCCGCCCTTCACCTAAGACGTAGCCGGGGGAAGGAAAAAGACCATGACATGATGAATCCATCAAAACCTTTATTACTCATAGGAAGAGCCGTCTGAGACGCCCCGAGCATTCCAAACAAAGAAGGGGGCTTTCGGGGGGGGAGGGGGAGAAGAAGAAGAGGAGAGGGGAAAGGGAAGGGAAGGAAGAATGGGAGGGAATCGCGGCAAACAATCTTCCAACCCGAACTTTTTCTCCATTTCAAGCGCTGCGCGACGGAACCCGATTACTCGCCGATAAAAGTACACCCTACTTATTCCAAACTCATCAGGCACACTCTCCACTGGGAGCTCTGCACCTTTTGGGGAGAAGGGTTCTAAGTACTGTCGGTGTTGTAGGAAAGGGGGAATGTGGTGCAGCGTGGAGTTGAGTTTGGTGAGGAAAGATGTCGTGATTTTTTTTTTTTCCACAATTCTTTTTCTTTCTTGACATCTCTTCTCGACTTTGAATTTTTTTTTTCCCCTCTGGGACCTTCTTCTTTGGCTCCTAGGCTTTGCCTCTCGTGAGACCTTTTATCTTAGAACTCCGGCGTTATTGGGGCTTGGGGAAGATTGCATCGTCATGTGCTGTCCTCGGGTTCTTGTCGGGGGGGTAGGGGGCCGCGGGGGGTGGGGTGGGAACGTTGTGCTTTTAAATCGGGTTTCTGACACTGCTGGTCCAATTTGCTTTCTTACTTTGATCGCTTTTCGAGTCGGTGGACGAAGTTACTGACTTTGCTATCACCAGAAAAGTACGCGAGCGTTGTTCGTTAGGGGGTTTGGGTTGCAGGGTTGAAAATATGAGCGGTGTCGAGAGGTGGGATTATGGTTTGGGGAGGATTGAGGTAGGTCAGAGCGAGGGAAATATATCATCTTCATTGAATCATTACTTCATCCGTCCCTTGTGCTTGCCTGCCTGAGGTTCCTCAGTGATGTCCCATTGCCGTCCTTGTACGTTATGACCGTACTCCGAATGCAATCAACGCAACCCTCCCGAGTGACCCAAAGGTCGAATCACTCATCGCTCTCACTATCAAACACCGGCCGCCTCCTCTGCAGTCGTCTATTGCCACCCTGCGCTCGCGGAGTAGCGTCCACATCAGACCCATCATCTCCCGTATCCACGACACCTAATATCTTCTTTCCCTTACTGCTCATTAGTACGCCATCGAGATCCGGCAGCGAATCCACAGACTCCTGCGTCCCTGGAAACTCAGTCGGCACGTAAAACGGCATCGCGGTCCCCTTGGGCCTCGCGGGCGCGGTAGATACCACAATGGGACTCGTCGCGAGCGTCGACGACGTCGGCTGGATGCTGGAGACGGGGTGATCGTCCGAGACGACAAAGTCCAGCAAGTCACCTCCGCTGTCTGAGCCGTCCGTGTCCATCGCGTCGCTGTCCCTGTCACAGGCATCGCCCAGTTCGTCGCTGTTGATGCCGCGCGCGACCCGCTTGGAAGCCTTCTTGCCTCGTCCCCTTCCTGCGGCTTTCTTTGGCGCGCGGCGGGGAGGCGATTCCTCATCCATTGTCTCGTCCATCTCGTTTAGTCCGTCGTCGACTAGGGCTGAAGCGGATGTGAATGCCGCGCGTCTCGTCGTGCCGGTTGATCGGCGTTTCTTTGGGCGTGATTCTTCGATGGGCTCGTCTTCGTCGGACGACACTGAAATTTGCCCCGGAGCCCCAAGACACGAGGCGCCTGCTCCTCCATCTTCTGTATCGCTCGCAAACGACGGCACGGGAATCTCCTCGTACCGGCTCGTGTCTTCCTCCCCGAAACGGCGCACCCATCGGGTTCTCTCATCTTGGTTCTTGGCAAACTTCTGACACAGCTTGACGTACCTCTTCGTACGCTGGCTGTGCTGAACCTTGCTGACCGGTCGAAGCCGGCGCTGAAGCAAGGGGTACGATGTCAGGTCCGGCATCTCTGTCTCTTCAATCTTGGTCCGACTGGCAGGCAACGACCGGTACACCTTGTCCAGCTCGGCCAGTTGCGCTTCTGTGAGCACGACTGAGTCGAGCGAGGGCACGTCGGCGATGAAGTCGGCCTCCGTCGGCTCTCGCTTTTGCTCTTGCTTTTTAGGGCGGCCTCTTTTGGGCGCCGCACCGGGTTCGCCGATGGCGGACGCCTTGACAAATCCCATCTCGACGCCGTCTGGCATATGGAACTTCTTGGGCGGCAGTTTCTTCCTCGCCCTTCCCTTCTTGGGCTCTGGGAGCGACGGGTTCTGCGTATTCTCGATGGGTATCTCGATGTGCTGCATGTCCACCTCTGGTCGGATATCTCTAGGTACGATGCGAGTTGAGAGGTCATGACGGAAGTTGAACTTGCTCCCTTCGCAGATTAACTTTTGCATTTCCGCATAGTTGTCTTTCGACCTGGCGAAAGCATCCTCTTCCTTGCCTCTCATGAGCAGGAGCACAATGTTTCCGGCCCTCTTTCGACCTGTTCTACCCATTCGCTGCAACATTCGAATAGGTGAGGACGAGGCGTCATAGCAAACGATCAAATCGACCTGGCCAATGTCCAATCCCTCTTCTCCGATGGACGTTGCGACCAGAACGTTGTAGTCGCCATCCTTGAACTTTTGTATCGTCGCAATTTGCTCGGACTGCTTCATTCCTGCGGATCGCTTCGAGTCTGCTTGTCCAACGAAGACAGTGGCCTTGATCAGCGGTTTGTGGACATTCAGTACCTTGACAATATCTTCGGCACTGTCTCTGTACTCGCTGAACACTATGATTCGAGTAGAGTTTGCACCGGCATCCATGAAATGGTTCAGAACGGTGTCCTGGAGAGCGGCGAGCTTTGGATGACCGACGAAGCCGTCCAGGCGAAGCCACTTTTCCACCCTGGTCATCATCTCCTGGAAGCTTGAGTCGTTAACAATTTGCTTCTTGTACTTGGAGCCCTTCTCTCCCTTGCCCTCAATCTCGCTTCGAAATTCTTTGAGATTCTCGTAAAAGGGCCTGATGCCATGGAAATTGAGTAGTTTGATCGCGTGGGCCAAGCTTTGCAGTATGCTAAAGATAGCCCTCATCATGAATTGGACCCCAGGGTTGGCTCTTCTTCCGACGTTGGCGAACCAATCTTGTTGCTGCTTCACCAGGCCATATGTCGTAATCGCCATTGGATCTCTTCCATAGTAGATATTTTGCTGGGTGAGCTTGTCCATCAAAGGTTTTAAAGCCTTTGTGAACAGCTCTTTGATTTCGCACATCTCATCCGAAGGGTCGAGTACTACTTGCTCGACATTCCTTGAATGGACATATTGCCGAATATCGATCGAATCCTCTGTGCGAATTTCGATGTGGGATATTCCGAGATTGTCGATAATCTCTTGCACAGTCTCGACCTTCGACCCTGGTGTTGCTGTCAAGGCTAGTAGGCGGAAATAGGGGTTGTATTGGCGTATCCTCTTCACCACTTTTGCGTACGCGTACTCGCCCGTTGCTCGATGGGCTTCATCAATCACCAGAAGTACAATGGATTTTGGATCAGCATAACCATGTGAGATGTCGTTTTGAAGAGTTTGCGGCGTCATGAAGAACACCCGTTTTGACGCCCATTCGTCTACTCTGAGAGTGGGCGCTGTGTCGCCAGTGAGAAGAGTGGTTTCTGACCGGGGTATGCCCACAATGTTGAAGCAAGCGTCAACTTGTTGAGCTACAAGGGGTTTGGTAGGCGCAACGAACACGATTTTCGCGTCTTTTGTCCAGCGGTAGTAATTGAGCATCACGGTCGCAGCAATGAATGTTTTGCCGAGACCTGTAGGTAGCGCGACGAGTGTGTTATTGAACAGACCGTTTTTGACGATGCTGAACTGGTAATCTCTCGTGGCTCCCAGGTTGGTGGGATATATCCATGTCTTCATGGCTTCGCGATCTATGGCGTGTTGAGAAAGCGCCTCCACTGGCTTGTCTCCTCGGTAGACACGACCAAATCCTGGCTGTTGCGGCTGAGTAGAGGCGTTATCTGACACTCTGCCACCTAGTAACGTAGTCTGGCGAAAGTTTGACGACGATCCAGTTCGTGTTAGTCCGTTTCTGACGGTTGGTGCAACAGGCTCCGGTGAAGAGGAGAATGCGTCTGAAGGCAAATCATCCAGCTCGGTCCCTACAGACTGAACCACTGTCTTTGCCGTGTTCTAATGCTCTTTAGCACATGCTCATTTTGTTACATTCAACATGCAAATGGGCTTACTCTTGGTCCTACATTAAGACCATGTGGTTGGACTTGACGTCCAGCGTTGGCCCGACTATAAGATGGTGCCAGAGCCTGCGCGACAGAAGTCGTTCTGCCATTTAGGAAATTGATGCTCGAGCTCGTAGGTAAGGCTTGGCTTTGGCTGAGTGCCTCGACCAAATCCTCGTCTGCGAGATCGTCATCGTATTCGTCGGAATCCATTTCGCTGAGAGTGATTGGTTTCACTCGGAGGATTAGTCGCTGATTCACCTTCGGAATGCGATCATAGTGTGGCCTGTTTGTGAAAACGGCGGTCTCACGATACTTAGGACTTGAGCAAGGATTTCCGTGAAGTAGTCGAGGCAGTGATTCAAGGCGCGGTGGCGACCTCTTTACGCCCAGTACATCACTTTCCACGACAGACGCGTCGTCGCGCGAAAGCGTATCTGAGTCACATGACCGTTTCGCTTATGTAATTTAAAATAGAGTTGAGAGCTCAAGCTCAAGCTCAAGCCCTCAGGGTCTCAGGCGGGGTTTTTAGGACAAAGTACTTACTAAGGTGCCCGCCCTACCCTGAGACCAAACCACAATGCTTTGTATTCCCGACAAGGTGAATCTCCAACAAAGCGATACTTGGGCGTCAGGCGTTATATTCCTGTAATCCTTCATCTCTATGTTTGTCGTAGAGCCATGAAAAGTCTCTCCCTCACTCATTCGCGATACTGCTGGGCCAACCATTGGTGGTAGGTAGTTGACACGTGGGTGATCAAACAAGGGAAACCAGGTAGGTACGGATACATTCGTCTGCTTTCCAATTTTCAGTGTATCTTTTCAATATATTGATGACTGTTCCTGTGCAAAGCCAAGCCGTGACATGAGGCAGACTGAATAGGCAGCCATAGGAAAGAAATCAACATTCAATGACTGCCTTCCATTGACATCCTGCGTGCCTGCCTTCCAATGATTATGTAAGGATACCGAGCAAATGAAGTGAGGCGCGTGGCTGGCGAAGAGGGAAGCCGGCTAGTCCTATTTGAGAGAGGTCGCATGCGCTCGGAACGTTCCTGCCTGTGTGCCTGCTGGAGGAGGTCTGTAGTGGGGCTGACCCAAACGTCACTGCTTTTCGCGACGAATTTCTTCACTGCTTTCTCCTTCACCTCATCACTCACACATTACCTGCGACAACACCCCTAAAACTGCGCATTCTTTGCAGAGATCCGAATCGACGGCTCTTCTACATTCTTCTTTGTCGAGAGCTCAAAGCGATCCCGATTTTATATATTCTGTTTGCAGCGGTCGACGAGTCTGCGCCTTGGCCCATCCGGCCTTTGTCCTCTGAAGCTGTCCGCGACACCGCGAACAACGGTCTTTTACTTTACACCAATCCGCTGAAACCCTTGAGGATCCGACAGTTCTTATTTGACTTCTTCGGAAACACGTTGTCATCTCGCACCCGCTCAACGCGCATCCGTCTGCGGAACAGCAAGCGAAAACTACCTACGAATACTCTATACCCACGAACGTTTTCTACCGACAATCACCTCTAGCCACGCCTTATCTGTTGCACCACTACAGACATGGCGCCTCCAAGAGCTCCTCGCGGTACTCCATCACAGCCAGCGCGCGAGGGCCGCAACTCCACATTGGGTGCCAAAACCTCGCGCGGCGGTGGAATCCAGAAGCGCAAAGGTGGCAGAACCCAAACCGACAGAGATGGAGATCTCGATATGGGGAGCGGCGCCGGAGGAAGCGGCACACGCCGTCCAAACAACAGAGGAGCGTCAGACGATTCCAACAATTCGAGACCTCAGCGACCGGCGAGATCCAACGGTCCCCCCACCAAGCCAGGCTCGAAAGTGCACCAGGCGATTGCTCGACACTTGGATACTGGCGATGGAAATGACCTGGTCTCGAGAAGGAAAGGACAGGGACCTGGTCTCGTCTGGCTGAGTGTCAAGGGTTTGAAGGAGAGCAAAGCAGCGAGCAACAACGACGGTGGACTGCGGGATCTGATCATGTTTCTGGAGCGGAAAGCCACGACTCTGTCCGGTCGCAATAAAACGGTGCACATCAAGAAGGTATGTTGCGTTGCTGTGAGGCTTGGGGGAACTACATAGGGACGCCGAATGATTCAGCCTCGTTGAAACGCCAGTTACTCCGCGAAACGAGAAACAAATAGCTCATACCGGCTGCTTATGCCCCCTCCTAGTTGGGGTGAAGTCTAAAACTACGAAAATCGCTAACATTCAATAGTCAAGTCTGAAGGGGGATTTGGTCAGTGTTGCAGCAAGCAAGGAAGATGCGGAAGAAATCTTGAAGGTCAACACTTTCACTTTTGCCGGTACTCAGCTGGAGATCACCGATAGTGACGGATCCATGGCCAAGGCAAATGAGGCATCTGCTGCCGCACAAGAGACAAAACAAAAACTTCAAGGCATCATGTCACTCCGTTATGATATGGAGAACAAGCTTCTACGTCTTGACGCTCTGAACCAAGATGAAGGCTTGATCCAGATGGGAATGTTGGAATCCAAGGATAGAGCGGAGAAGCTTTTCAAGGTCATGATGAGAATCTGCGACGAACTGTTCAAAACACCACAGGCAAAGATTGATGCAATCCACAGCATCAGTCTAGCCAACAACAACATTGACACAGTCGCACAAGTCGAAGAGATGGCGGATACCTTCCCTGATCTCAAAAATCTTGATCTTAGCGGGAACCAGATCGACAACATCGCGGGCCTGGCAAGATGGAGATCGAAGCTCAAGAAGCTCGAGACTCTGTATCTGACAGGAAACCCCATCCCGATCGCGGATCCCAAAGTCGTCCTCGAGCTCATCCACTTCTTCCCTAAGTTGCAAGTTCTGAATGGTGAGCAATTGACACCGGAACGAATTGCGGAACTCAAGGCAGCTGGCCGTCCCAAACCGATCCCTCAACGCGGGCCCGATTTCAGGGACGCCAACGGCATTGGTGAAGCATTCCTGTTGGAATTCTTCCTTGGCTTCGATACCGACCGCACTGCTCTCCTCGCCAAGTACTACGACGACAACAGCCAGTTCTCTCTCGCCGTTGACACACGTGCTATTAGAGACGAGAGCCAACCGCAGCCGATGCCCTGGTCATCATACATCAAGCAATCTCGGAATCTGATGAAGATTACGACCCCGGCCGCTCGAGCTGCCAGGCTGATCACGGGCAGAGAGGCAATCTGGAACCTGTGGAACGACCTCCCGAAGACACAGCACCCGGACATCAAGGCGGATATCAGCAAGTACATTATGGACTGCCATCTCCTGCCTGGCCTTGCCGACCCTTCTGGTCAAACCCAAAGCGGCGTAGACGGCATGATCATCTCAGTACATGGTCAATTCGAAGAGTGCGACAAAGCTGGCAAGACGGGACTGAGAAGCTTCTCCCGCACATTCGTTCTGGGACCCGGACGCCCCAATACCAATCCAATCCGCGTCGTCAGCGACATGTTCTCCCTCAGAGCCTTCAACACCCTCCCGAACGTCTTTGTCGCCGAAGCCCAAGCACCGGCCCCATCTGCTCAGGAACAAGAACAACGACAAGCCATGATCGTCGAGCTATCGAAGCAAACGACCATGACACCCGCCTACTCAGAAATGTGCCTGTCCGATGTCGCGTGGGACTTTACCAGAGCCTTGGCAGTCTTCCACGAGAAAAAGGTAAGAAACCCCGAAACCTGGAACATTCGAAAACCAATACTAAGCCTCGCGTAGTCTCAATTACCACCAGATGCCTTTGCCAGTGTTTAGAAACTGCTGTGCTCGTCTCCTTCGTTCTGGGGGCAATGAGGGGCCCGGAGGACAAGGATGAATTAGGAAAGATCACGATGGGGCCGTTCAAGTACGACATCGGCCGTCTGGCCCACACGGGCGATATATTGAAAGAGAAAAAAAAGCGCAAAGGGGAAGAGAATCAGAAGAGAAAAAAAAAACCACACTCTTGACGTGGTGAACGGTATTGGGAAGGGGCCCTGGACAATGGTCCATGGCTCGGAGGAAAGGAGGAATAGTCATTTACCCCAGGCGTGAAGTGGAACTATTGTGTAGATGGGAAATCCAGAGATCAGCTTGGCGATGGATTTGAGGAGGTTCCCGAACGGCATTCGTACGAATACCTACATACACTTGGCCGCAAGAAAAAGCGAAGCGCATCATAGAGGCAGCGACGTGTTGTTTTGGTGCTTGAGGAGAATATTGCTATTACAGTCACGTAGTGTAGTGGAACGGGAGAATACCATTGAGATTGCTCGCCTACCTAAAATGTTCATGAAATCGCCCATTTACAGTGACCATGTTAACACCCTCGATTTGAGAGTGTGACTCGATTGAAAACTTGAATTCACTTAATCAGCCAAGGGTGCATTAAAGAGTAAAGACGTCTATCAGGCAGACAGCCAAAACAGACGTCAGTGATGGATCCTACGTTGTGGTGACATTTCGCAGAACAACTGTTTCGCCATGGGCCATGGACCAGAAAAAAAAAAGGCATATTTAATTATAAGGCTGAATGATAGTGACAAAAACCTTGCGTAAACCAATAGGAGCAACGGGGTATGAGTCGAAAAAGAGCCGAGTGTGGAATCCCGCAGGCGCGCGCTGGCTAATGACGGTCACGAGATGACGAAGGGTGATGAGGTGACGAGGAAAGAGAGAGACATGATCTTCTTTTTTGAGTTTAATGAAGAGCGGCAAGGAAAGGCCAAGGTCAAGGGCAATCCGTGGATACCTTTTTGTGGTTAGTAGCGTTCGACGGTGAGTGACATTCTTGTCACGTTGTTCCTGCTGGACGAATCGGATCCGAAGAGTGAGTGTACGGAGTGTTCAGAGTGAGACTTTCGAGAGAGAGAGTGTGTGTCCGGAGTAGCACCGTTGTAATCATAGTGGCTTGGTGAATCGGTTCGTCGATGTGATTCAAAGTCCATATCTCGGGCGCTTACGCAGTGCCGATGGGAGGTTTTTCGGTCGGCGCGAAGATCACATGCCCCCAGGTTGTCGTCTTTTGGCTCACCGACACAAAAGTGAGTGGATGGACAGAGTGCTGGGCGCGCGCGCGAATCACAATTTGGACTTCGTGTCTTGACAGCTGGGGTGTGTGGCGATGCAGAGGAGGGCGATTGACTGACTTGATTGATTGGGGGGGGGGTTCATGCTGGGAAGAGGCCCCTTCTGAATGATGATGTGCATTCGCCCGTTCCGCTGCAGAGTTGACGTTTGATGACTAAGGCAATAGCGAGGTACGGAGTACCTCTGGAAGAGGAGGAAAAAAGGAGAGTCTCCGATTCGATGTCATGCAGCGTGCCGGGTGATCCCTTTCCACACCACATCTTTTTAGAAAGGGTGGTCCTGTCTTTGGTGTTTGTGTGTCTGCCTGTGTGCTTCGTGATTACCATGGTAAAAAGGTGCAGCGCTTGAGAGAGGCTCATTTGGATAGATTAGCTCAACGTGGATGCGATTCGTGATGGGAACTATTTTTGCGCAGCCGCCTGGGACGGGAAATCATCACACTCTTTTGGCGCTTTGCGATTATGAGTTCCTTGGATGTGGAAAGACCATCAACGATGCGATAGCGCCGGCCGAGACGTCGACCGTTGGGAGGAGAAAAAGCTGTCTTGTACTCCGTAGCTTTTATTTATTTATTTTATCGTCGGCATCTTCGGTTGCATGTCACTGGTATGCTTAGTCAGGCGCACAGCCAATGTCTTGCATTTTTCGCACAGCATCGCCCGGATCTCCACGCCGAGCCAAGGAAGAAAGGCCAAAGCCAGATTCAAGGTTTTTTTTAGACTATATGCCGAGCGGGAGAAAAGCGTTGAACGGGGTAGGCCATAGGAAGGGAGCATGCACACGACAAGACTTGAGATGATTTATGCGGTAAGGTAGGTAAATACGAGAACCGAAGTTTCTGTGCGGGGGTTTGGGCATGATGATTGGGAGGGGCAAGAAAGACGAGATGAGAGGGCGGGAGGGTCGTTCATCGGATTGAATGTTCAGCAAAACTTCAGACCGGTTCATCGTTGCCGGAAGGAAGGGCTGGCTTGTCTTGTCTTGTCTTCTTTGCTTTGCAAGTGCTCGGATGTTTGGTGACAACTGTTGGCACTGACAAGTACGAGTTTGGGTGTCCCCGGGAACAAGCGCCCGCGAGTACGGACGATTCGGAGCAACCTACTGCGGTAGATGGGGAATGACAAGTACACAGGCACGTTCCTTGAGTGAATGAGGGATGGATGGGCCGGCAGAGACGTTGGAGGTTGATGAGATTTTCTTACAGAGAGGAGGGGAATCGTAGATTCGAGATTGATGAGTTTAACAACGCCCCCCTAGGGCCCTTGCTCAGCCATTCTCTACGATACGCACCCACGCGTCCTCGTCAGAACCAGGAGGTGCTTGGGTGGGGATGGAAGGGAAAAGCGAATTGTTATTTCAATTCTTTTGGAGCTGATGCGGCGAAGGCCTGCCTTACTCGGTAGTCGGGCGCGCGTCCGGTAGCCCCTCATTGAGCATTCTTACTCCTCTCGCCTGGGCTCCTTGAGGCGTTCCACAGAGATCAGACATCGTCTTGTGTCGCGCATAGTGGAATGGGCGAGGATCGCGGTCGGGTATGGGAAGGAGATGGGGCCGGCGAAAATAGGGGAGGGGACAGGAGTCACGGAGAGGGGATTTCAATGACAGAAACGAAGACCTTTGATGTTGGAAAGATTGAGCTTACCTCTTGTTGGCGCATGTCTACACAAAGTAAGAAGATCTTGGTTGATGTCATTGCCCAAGTTGTGTGGACTTTCCTTCTCTATGCGACTCCCGCTTTGATCACGATGAAGTCTATGAGAGAGTGAAAAGTGGATGACACCAGATGGGCCATTCGAGTCTGCTGCGTGGCATTGGAGCCCAACCCAACTCGGGTCGAGACCTTTGCTTCCTCCTCCCGATGATGCCGTCCCGGCGCGACGGTGGACCGCGGGCCTGGTGTATCCGTACATGGGGTGGTGAGAGTGGTGCTTCGAAGCGAATGAGAAGGATTCGAGCAAATCCGGCCAGTGTGCCGTTCTCGTCTTTCCAGTTTCTCTCAAATGCCTCTCGTCTTTCCATACAGAAACAGATATAGATTACAATAAACGGCTTACCATGTGTACTAGAATGTGACCGATGCAGGCGGATGGGGTTCATTGGATATGCGGACATGCACAAGGGGGATATATCGAGAGATGTTCTCAAAAAGGACACACTCACTCTACCTGAGAGCAGGCCCCCCCCCCCCCCCCCCCATGCCCACTATGACCCCCTGGAAGGCACAATTACAGGCGTCAAGCCTCACCTCAGCACTGCAGTCTGCAGCTGATTAGCTGAGAAGGCACACCGCAAGCAGGTGCTCATGGTGCTGTGTGAGTGAGCGACAGGAGTGAATGAGTGAGTGGTGGACATTCCATTCGCTAGAACGGAAATAGTCGACCTTTTGGTCTCCCAATAGATGAGCTGCGGTTGTATCGTCAGCTGGTGGGCACTTGACGGTTTTTGGTCATGGTGGCTCAGGGGCAACGTCGGTTGCTGCAGGGGCTAACTTGCCTAGCGCGTTTCAGCCAGAATGCCATTGGACAGGCAGTACGTACTTTGCATCCGTCATCACAGCCGTTTCTCTGTACGTACCTTACCTAAGCTAGGTACGTATCAGTAAGTACTTCACAGTACGTACTCCGTACTCACCTCACCTTCCTTCTGTCTCTCTCTTTTGCAGACAACCTGGTAGTCTCTGAATACCTCAACTGCTCACCAATCTCAACTCCATCTCGGGGCATGACAGAGTCAAGAGATGCCAAGCCAGCCAGGACGGGGCATGGAAACGCCCACGTTTGTCCAGTCCAGCAACGGGAAAGGCTCGAAGCATGCCATCCAGGCCTTACCCTGACGGGCATTCACCTGCCGCGGCTTGCTGGCCTCCCCCCGGCCATCGGTAGCAGTGGGAACGGGAACTGAGGATTCCCTCTCCCACTCTCCTTGAAGGCGGCTTGGCGACCATGCCCGTTTGCTCCCATTATCGCCCTCTTTTCGGTCTTGCACTGCATTTTCGGCTCCCCCAATCTCGGTGGAGTGTCCCACGAGGTGCAAAACGGCAAGACGCAACATCAACGCGGCTCTCAGTAGACTCTTTTTCAAGTTTCTCTTTCGTCCTGGATGCTGGACCTGCTCGGATGCGGTGCGTGGTGCCACGCTAGACCTGAATCTGGACAAACCCGGGTAGTCACCACGTCAATCTCCCCTCGTCCACGGGCCCCAAAAGATCCAACGAGCGGACGACATGCCGTTTTTTGATTGCTCCCAATTTGCGCTGCCGGTGCTCTCCCGTGAGTCCCGTTGGCTTTCGAGTTTCCCCAGCTTTCCCGGCCCATTCATTCACCGGAATCCTCATTCGATTTGAGGAGCGTGGTGCAGACAGAGATTGCCGTATGACGCCAGGCAGTCAGTTTTGTCCAAACTCTCGAACTCTCTGCCCACTGACAGTCTGCCACGGGCCTCTCTTTTATCAACTCATTCTTTCTTTTCTGCTGCTGGCCTCTTTCCTGGTGGCCCTCCCGGGCCTCCCCCCGTTTGTTGGAAATTCAAAGGCCCCATTCTCGCCATGCCGTTGCAGGGCCGCAGGCGTCTCGATATTATTATTGAAGGCCGAGAGCCGGGAGCAGGCGTCCACTTGGCGGCCCCTTGACCCATTTGGTGGTTCTCGGATCTGGCACTGCCTGTCGTCAATCGACTGGTCTATTGGAAGGAAAAGATGATCGTGATTGGATTCATCTAGCATCGTTGGGGCCCTCGACACCTCGAGGCATGGTCCGATGCCTCGTCTAGACAAGTAACGGGAGGACAGGCACATGGCATGGGAGATATCAATCTGAAGGAGCCAAGCCAACCAACGAAGCAATGAACGGACCGCTGTCAGTCAGCCGTCGTCTGGTGTGATCTGTCCGTCACTGCCAGTGACCGTCCGTCCTCCCACCCAATCCTTGGACGCAAAGTCAAAGTCTGTCGAACCCCGGACGGACCACGGACCACAGACCACGAGCCACGAGTGACGAGCAGCTTCGAACATCCGGCACGAGGCCGAGGAAAAAGAAAACGAAGAGAGACAGATGATTGACTACGGATGACCAACTGGCAGTTGCAACGGCTGACTTTTCTCTCCTTGCTTTACACTCACCGACGCGCGCGCGGCGTGCCTCTTTACTTGCTTTTACACATGCGCGACACAGGCTCGCATCAGCACACTCAGCAATGAGCATTGTCAAGCCCCAGTACTAGATACGGTTCAGGACTAGAGCGAGACTAGGCTGGGAGGAGGTCCGCCCGTTGTCAACGTAGTGATTGACTGATTTGACTGCTGGCCGTTCAACCATTTGGCTACGGCTACCGGTCGATGTGTCTTGGAAAAGAGGACGAGACTTCTGACTGAGAGTACTGTAGTAGAGTACCACCCGACTGGCGTCAAAGCCCCCCTTCCCATCCAGGACCACCCTCCACCTGTGTCCAGGAACGATGAAATTGGGCTTGCTGATAGGCTCATCACCCCGGCACCCCCTTTTCCCAATCTCGTGCTGGACCGTAAAAAAGGGCACTAGGATCCAGCCTCAAGGGTAGCTGCGTCGTCGGCCTGTACCTGGGCGGCACCGCAATGTCTCACCACCTGTCCAAGTATTCTTGGCTCGTCCTCTACTTTGGCGCTGGTGCCCGTGGATGTCCAGGAACCCCCTGATCTGTCCCCCATTCGATGGTTCCAACACCATCTGATTCGTCCGTCGTCAGTCCAAGCCACCCCGGGCCAGGGACCAGGACGTTCCTGGCGACCCCCGGTCACGATTCCCCGAATCCCTGCCTCGTGTTTCCTTCGCCTGCAACTTGGGCTGTACCTGGTCGACTCCTGCTGCGGGCTGCGGGTGCGCTCGACTACTGCGAGAGAGAGAGGGCCGCAACAGTCGGACGAGGGTGAGCGAGGGTACCACTCTTTTCCATTCGCCTCTCTTCCTCTCTGGTTCTGCTGGTCTCTCCCTTGGTCTCCGTTTTCCTCTCCTCCTTCTCTCCTTCTGGTGCCGTGTGTGCATTTTTCGCTCTTTCGAGGTGGAATTGCTAGTCATCGTCTGGAACGTTGAATCTCGCGAGATCGAAAGAAAAGAAACAACACAGAGTCGCTCATTGCAATATCCTCTTCGATTCCTAGACGTGGCAATTTGCCCATCTTCTCCCTCTTCCACCGAACATTCCGACCCGACCGACACGAACTGCAGTAATAGCCCGGCAGCGATACGACATATCCACGACACACTCACACACAAACGAATCCGACCAACGACTGCGAGGCACCCGCTTGGCCACACCCAAAACCTGCGACACCAAGTCCTTCAGGACTCGGGAGAACTAACAGCTTCTTGTTTCCTTCTACCCAACCGTCTGGCCTTTTGTCCTGGCCTTCTTGTTTGTCTGGAACTAGACGTCTGTCGAGAAACACCAGAAACTTTGTTCTGCAGATCAAACTCCGAGACAAGGGAACCACTTCCCGTCCACTTCGACCTCGACGGCTCAGTCTCTCCCTCCCTTAGGACCTCCGCTCGATCTCTATCTTCGCCTTCCCGTCGTGCGAGCTAAGTACCAGCCGACCGAACTCACTTCGACATTTCGACCGTTTGGAAGCCTCGAGGGCGCTGGCTATTGCGTTTGGATCATTGGACCGTTGCTGTGTACGCCATTTGCCAGCAGCCATCTCACCGTCTGCGTCGGACCATCATTTTCATTGTGAGAAATCGCATCAACACTCGGCGATTCTGCAGGCATTTTAACGATATGCTGTAGACTACACGCATTTTACCCACTCAACCCCGAAACCAATTTACCTCGACGACTACACCCAACCTTCTTAAATACACATCATAGGACACGATCACGATGAAGCTCCCCGAGCCCAAAGTCGCTTTGGACAACATCTGCTCGGTCATTTACAATAACGTTCTCTACACATATTCCTCCGGTGCTTTCCAGTCGCTGTCGCTCGAAGAAGGGGCCCAATGGAAGACCTTGGCGCAAGGCGAGGCAGTGACGGGTGCCGTCTGCGTGGGCTCCAACCCCACGGATGCTAGCAAGGCCGGCTTGTACATTGTAGGAGGCAAGGGCACGTCAACAGATTACCACGGACTTCAAAAGTTCACCTATGCGACAGGAAAGTGGGAGTCCATCGCACCACAGGACCACGTCACGCAGGACCGCCTTCTCCATGGAGCAACATATCTCCCCGGAACGGACCAGATCATCATGTACGGCGGGAGTCAGGATGGCTACTCGGGTCCTTCGACGCAGACTTTTGTTGTCGGAGCGTCCGCGCCTTACAGCACCCGAGCCTACGAATCATCAGCACCACCTGTCGTAAACCCCATCGTCTTGACATGGTCTGACACCCAAGCCGTTGTCGTTGGAGGCAGCACGACAAATAGCAAAGTTATGCTCTTCAACCCGGACACGAAATGGATTGATTCGGGTGCGACTCTCGGGGAACCCTTACTGAAGGACACGACTGCGATCCGCGCAATTATCATGAATGGAGACGACGGAAGCAAGAGCTTGTACACCTTTGACCTTTCCGTCACGCCCAACGTGGTCAAGCGCATGGTTCTTATCGATGCGGCCGGCGCACCTGTGACCAACTCCCAAGCGGTTTCGAAGGCAAAGGCGCGCAGCGTGACGGGCGAGATTGAAAAGCGCGCATCTCTGACCCTGAGCGACTGGCCCGCTTACAACAGCACCCTGGCGCCCACGGGCACACGATCCAACTACGCTCTTGCTCAGGGTTCCGATGGGACCGTCGTTTTCTCGGGAGGATCAGGTGCTGTCGACGATGTTCTCTGCATCTTCAACGCGCGTCAGAACAGCTGGGAAGATGCCGCTCAAAAGTTGAACGAGCAGGAGGTTCTCGCCACAAGCGAATCGACAAGCAGCACCACTGCGAGCTCAACCGCAACGAGCTCCAGCTCCAAGTCTAGCACTTCGGCCAGCTCCATGTCTACTCTTCCTGCCTCGGCGTCAGCCTCTGCATCCGCATCCGCATCCGCAACTCTCTCCGCCTCTGCGTCTTCTTCTGCTAGCTCCGAGACGGCTGCTGCTGCTGGAGCTCCCGCCGCAGTCAGTGCCAACGCCATCCTCGGCATCGTTCTTGGCACCATTACCGGTATCATGATTCTCCTTGGCCTGATCCTCTTCTGCATCCGTAAGCGTCGTGGCAAGAACCAGCAAAACGTGGAGGGCGGCCAGGACCCGAGAGGCATGAGCCCCAGGGGATTCCCCGATGAGAAGGCTGGACTTGGATACGGCAACGACGAATTCAACTCCGGTCCTCACTTCCGTGGTCATCAGCAACAGGACTCAGCTGGATCATTCTCCTCCATGGCGATCTTGATGGGCAAGGTCAACGGCGGCAACGTACCCAAGTCTGCCGGTGTTGCTCGCAGCGGAAGCAAGCGCGACACCTCCAACAGCTTCTTCAAGAGCACCATTAGCAAGCCCCTTCCCCAAATGAATGAGGCACCGGCCCTCGCACCCCCTTCCCGCGATGAGAAGGGTGTCTCGTTCGCCGCCGACGTGGTTGAGCCTCGCCCTACCCCTCGAGGAGCTCCCGTCGGTCGCGCTGGAGAGACGCGCAGAAGCTCTGGCTGGAACCGTTACTGGTCAGGCGGCAGCGCGCTCAACATCCTCGGATTTGGCAACTCGAAGCGGACAACCGTTGACTCGGAGACCTCTCACTACTCGAACACTACCAAGAACCGCATCACGCAAGACTCTGCCACAGTCCCTCCTCTGCACCTCATCACCCAGGACCTATCCACTGTTCCGCCTATTCAGCACGATGGCCGGCCAGAACTGAGCCGTGTCGTCTCTGGCAGCCCTACAGTGTCAAACTACTCGAACCAGATTCCCTTCCGCGATGGAGTCTCTGGCAAGATCGAATCTCATCAAAGACCCACGTCGAACGCATCTTCCGGATACTCGAGCGGTATTCCCGAGAGTATTCGGGATACATGGGATCCTACCGGCCCTTCAAGGCCCTGGGGTGCGGACCGCGCTCCAAGCAGTGTTTACGCCGAGAGCCTCTACCCTACGTCGCTGGCTCCAAGCCTCCCGCAACGGCAAACGCAGACCAGTGCTCCCAACGGTGTTAGTCAACAGCCTCCCCTAGCCCTGGCAGCAACCTCTTCAGACATGAGCTGGTTGAACCTTGGCGAGATCAACAAGCAAAACCAAAACCGTCGCTAGGTTCAGTCGACAAATGCCTTGAAGCCATGGCGGTGATGAGACACTAATGGCCATTGCGCGACACCTGCGAGCTCCGCTCACATCCATGGCGCTTCACGACACCTAAAATCATGATCCGTCCTTTTTTATACCCAGGTCTTTTCCGGAGCATCGTTTTCGGCGGGGGCCTCTGCATTCCAGCATAGACGGCTTAGAGCACTCAAAAGTCCACTCGTTACATCCCTTACACCTATCACCACGTCTCTCTCGACACTCTCATAACCACGCACACACATACACACATACTCTCCTGCGCAAAATCTCTCTCGGCCCATCTCACTATCCGACGCGCAAACTATCTTCATTACTCCAAACTCATACGACCGCAGACATGGCATGTCTCCCGGGCGGCGTAATTATCTTCATCCGCTCGTGAACATGGTTTTCCCTTATCTCACGCTGTCTTCCATTCTCTCTCTCCTTTTCCTTATCCATTTCCATTTCCAGCATCATCTCTTCTGTACATTCCTCTTTTTTAGAGCGAGACCCGGGACAGGTCGTTCCCTTCGCAGTCAGTCATTTCCGTGATACCAATATCGCAGAGAACTCAAAACACCAACAACACAACGCGCATGCCACGCTGTCTGGGTTGAATATGTAATTATCAATTTTTTGTTTACCATATCCAAAGGGGGTTAGGGGAGGCATTTCCAGGGTGTTGATGGGTTGCCAAACTTGGTGATTTTTTGGCGGTGGTTGTTTTTTTCTTCCCCTGTTGTTTTTCCCAGCTGTCTGCCATTTACATGTTCTCCCTACAGTGGGGATTGATGGCTGATGAATGGAAATGGGAAGGAGGAGAAAGAAAAAGGAGCAATGGGAGGCGGGGGCGGGAGGAGGGAATGTTGTTGAATACTTTTTTTGATATCTTTTTTGATGAAAAAAGATGAAGGAAAAACGGCGGTGCGGAGGATTTATTGTACTATTCCTTGCAACTTGTAGGCTGTTGCACCAATTGATGGCTTGCTAAGTTACGAAACATTTGATGGCTCCTTTGGTTGCTTTGTGACGCGAGATGAAGATGCGAATATCACTAATGCCTATTTTGTTCCTAAGGGATCTCAAACCTTACGTGGTATCGTGTAAGGAACCCGGGTTCAATTGTGAATACTCAAAAACTACATGATCGAGACATTCTGGAGAACTAGCCTTTGGTTGCAGGATTGATAAACATGACGGTGGAGGAGCTTTGGCAGACAGAGCCAAGCAAGTCACTATGGAAGTAACTGTCCGTATGGAAGACAATCCCGATGAGGCCGCCCGTGGCCAAGGTCTCAGGACGATGAAGTACTCGGATATGTCATCTGTCTATTTGCAGTTTTCTTCCCCTTTCTCTAGCTACTTCTTCCAAGTCCGTGGCCCCCCTTTTCCCCCGCCAATGAAGCGGGTGTAGGCTGTGTGAATCGCACATCTCGATTTACCCTCACTTCCAAGGTCCGATGGTTAATACTCTTCAAACTCTCCCGGCTCCCCCCCAGCGCCGAATCATCACGGGCTCGCCGTTCCTGCGGAGCCTGGCTCCCATTTATCCAATAACCCTACATTCCACCCCTTGAACGTCCGCTCACCAGGCGGTAGAACCTCACTGCTACGCTTCAACCCCTCTGCCGCGGCGACGATGGCCGGTAAGGGGAGGTTGACCTCCTGCACGTCGGATGTCATGGACTCGAGCATGGTGTCCGCCTCGTCTTGGGAGATCTCTTTGTACAGCAGTTTGATGGCTGCGCGTTTTGTGCGTTGCTGGGCAGAAAATGGAGATGAGGCAGAGGAGAAGGAGGAGGAGGAGGAGGAGGCGTAGGTGATGTTGCTGTTGAGGATCCAGAGGTGTAGGGCGGGCACGACCTCACCATCGCTAGAGGAAGCTAGATTTTGGGTGGATTGGAAGGCGGGAACGACGACTGATTTGGAGGAGCCTGAGCGGGAGAGGGTTGCGATGAGGGTTGCGGCTAGGCAGTCTGAGCTGGTGGGCTGTGCTGCCGCTGCCGCTGCCGCTGCCGCGGCGGGGTGTGATGTGATTGTCTGGCATGACACTTGCCATTTCAGCAGGACGACAGAGGAGATGGCTACGTTGAAGAAGCCGAGGTGGGAGGCGCAGGCGGAGCAGGCGATGTTGAGCATCCGGGAGGGTGGTGTGGGATCAGAGCCAGGACCAGAGATGCCTTCTCCTCTAGCTAGGACTTCTGAGCTGGAGGGTGCTGGGGTTGCGGCATCGGATGATGGGAGAGAGAACTGGGTGGAGAGAAGACGAGTAAGTAAGAGAAGGAGAGGAGAGGGAAGAAGAGTGCACGAAACGTATCGTGAAGGCCTACAGGCAAGGGGAGAAGGATTATATGGATTATATGTCCCTCGCTGTGTATCCCGGGGTTTCCGAGGCTCTGGAAAGAACCCCAGTGAACGCAAGAGGGCCGACCGTCTTTTGCAAACCCAAGCTCAAGACCCAGAAACCATCTTACACACGAGGGGCGTAGGAGGTTTCGGAGTCTTGCGTTTTAGAAAGCAATCCCCTGCGCGAGGGCAGGGGACGACGGCGTGTTTGTTTGGATAGTTCATATAGGGGCGGAGTATCGGTGACCAGATCACTGAGTTGGTAGCGTGTTGCTGCCGACATGGCCTCCTTCTTGATGCCCCCGGTTTTTTTTTTTTGGTTTTTTTTTTGAGAATACACGACAGTCTTTCACCGTATATAATAGATGGATCCTCAACGCGATGTTGAAGATACGAGTGACAAAAGAGATGGAGAGAGAAAGAGAGCCGCTTACCTTGAGACCAACACAATCAGCCTCGCAAAACAGAAACGAGGTCAAATCCACCATGCCGACGCCAGGCTGCGCGGCAATGGACGAGTTGGCTCCGTACCCGCGCCTAGTCAGATGCTCGTGGTCCGCTTTTCCCTGCCCCTGCTCCTTGCCTTCGCCGTCCACGCCATCGCCGCCGCCGCCGTGCTCATGCTCGTGATCCGTGCTAGGCTTGTGACAGTGCCAAAAGTCCATCATCTCAGCCCAGTTCTCGCTCGGCAGGTCCTTCCACTCCCCCGCCTTACCGCCGGGCACGACGACTGCGGCACAGTGTCTGCACGCGACGGCCGAGCCGGGGAGGAGATCCCGCGCCGTCCAGGGGACGGGGTCATCTGCGAGGCTGGTGCCGGTGCGCGGTGCTGCTGGGGAGTCTGCTAGCGGGAGACGCCATGATAGCGTGTGCGAGGCTGATGGCGATGATGCTGACGGCGGCGGTGTAGGCAAGGCTGTTGGAGCGTCTCCTTGGGCGAGGACTCTTCCGGGTAGCGGGAAGTATGTTTCTGTGCCTGCGTGGTGGATGTGCAGCGTTGAACCGTCTGCGGCGATGAGCGCTCTTGTTTGTCCTCCTGCTGGTGAGGGGAGGGTCACTGCGACAGAGAGCTGGCGGATGTTGGTGAGGAGTTCTGCGTAGATGTTTGGTGTGTTGTGAGACGACATTGTGTGCAGTCACGGGTGTGTTTGGCTGGTGGAAGTTTGGGCGGCGGAGGTTGAGGTTGAGGATGAGGGTTCGCGTGCACGTGTGGATGAGGTTAGATTTAAGATGTGCTGGAGCTTAAGAGTGGTCGCGCTAGGATTGGACTGTGGCGCGCGACCCTTGTGGAACTTGGCGCAGCTGGTGCCGATTCAGCGGTCCTACGTTTGGAATTCACGGCACCCGCCACCAGCGGCTTTTTGTCACGTTGCAAATCTGCGATGCAGCTTGGTAGACAAGGTCTCGTCATGTGTTTGGAATTGAAAACCAATATGAGTATACACATATCTTGTCGTCATATACAGCATCAAATATATCCCCCTCCTTGCTAATCATTGGATACCATCTATCTCACGGGCGGCGAGATGACGCAGTTTGATGCTGCTCATAGTCCGGCGCTGGCACATCCACATCGTCCTCGCGAGACTGGCCACTCGTAGCCGTCCTCAGATCCGTCATTTCTATAGGCGGACCCGTCGCAGCATTTGGCTTCACCGGCGCATGCATCGCGTACGGATCGATCCTCGAGTACGACGGCAACCCGCCGTCGTCATCGGCATGATTCACCAGACTCTCTTCGCGAATGCGATCCAAACGAGAGGGAGCTGCTTCTGCTCGTCGCCTCTGGTCGCGTACGCGAACGAATTCCTCCAGACGCCTCCTATAATGTTCATCTCTTTCGGCTTCCGTTGGCATTTCTACCTCCCTCACTCGGCGTTCGTCAATCATCGATCCCATGTCCGACGGCTCCGACTCTGGCGGGTATTGGTCCGGCTTCTGCAGTCGTTCGCCAACGGCCACGGCAGCGATGTATGCCGCAACCGAGAGCAGATGGCTTGCCGAGGCGATCCAGGTGACGACCAGCATTGAAATGCCGGCGCTGTGGTATTCGAAGACACTCTCGTATTCCCTGAGGATGTCGTCCGCCTCAAAGGCCGTTCTGGTCGTGCGAATAGAAGCGGCGATCAAGGCCGCCCCCGTCAGAGTAAGCGACACTGTCAGGAAACGATCACAGTTAGGTGCGTCCGGAATCATGCCGACGAAGAAGTGCCAAAACCAGAGGCACGCGGTGACCAACGTGAAGACAATGTAAGTGATGAGCGCGGTTTTGGACGAGATGATTGTGGGGGCGTTCGAGAGGTCAATGTCTTGCGATTCCAGAGCCGAGAATTGACCCCTCCTTGAGGAGTACATCGAGTATCCCCCTATTGCATAAGCGACGTCCTCCATGATGCTCTCAAGGTCGAAGGGGGTGCCCGGGGCCTGGCGGATACATCCATCCCGTCCTGAGTTCATGTCTTCGCCGGACAGTGAGTAGCAGCAGCTGCTGAGGTGCCAACTGATGACGACGGTGGTCTCTTCGGCTGACGGGCGCCGGCGGTATGCCGTTGACCACTATTATCCATTGTCAGTATATGCAAATGGGGAGGGAGAGAATTGTCCTCTCGAGCCCAAATCCGACTTACGGTAGCAAGGTGGGCCTCTCTGTTCTTGATACCTTTTAACTCTCTCACAGAACCCGACTTTGTCCATGCGCCGACGCATAGAAAGACGACGAGGATTATTGTGAGGGCATCAAACACCAACGCGCAAAGAAACAGTAAGCGCCGTACCGCTCTCTCTTGAGTTTGGTTGAGCGTGTACCTCTTGCCCTGGCTAGGCCTGTCACGTTGGACAGAAGCGTTCATATCGAGGAGACCTGGTGATGTCGCTACACATCCTGACCTGGTGATGTCGCTACACATCCTGACCTGGTGAGGAAGGGTATGGAGTTGTTGCCTCGGCGAACAGTGAAATACGTCTCTCGTCTCGAGACATGCCCAGAGGTAATCCATCCATAGCGGTGAAAGGTAATCGCGAACTCTTTAAAACGAAAAGCGGGAAATATAGCGTAGTGCCACCCGATTGAGCAGGTGATGTCGCTGCCGGGGTTCTTCGCCCAGTGAGTATGGCAGGCTGAATAGACTCATGCGGCACAGCAGTCTAGTGAGCTTGGTATTTCAGCCTGGGAGCTTGGCATCCATCCCCTTTGAGGCCGGCAATCTCGGTACCATGGCGAATGGTTGTCGCTGGCAAGGGCTGAGTGTGGGCGATTGCTCGTTACTGGCGCCAACGGTAGGTTTTTGGACCATGATTGAATAGCAGAAGGATACCGTTCATAGGCTTGTTGAAAATGGCAGGGTCCTGATTTGATTACTCATGTTCGGTTGGTTGATTTGAAGCAATGGGTTGCGATAATTCCCATATTAGTGACATTTAACGGCTTGAGAGGACGAACGACCGGGAGTGCACAGACCAGACCTTGTCGTGCTTACCTTGGCCTGAAGCGGCTTAGCTTGGGAGCTCCAAGGTCCCTCCACTCAAGATTCCCGAATTTCACCAGTCAACTTTCTGGATTCAACATTGCGATAATACCACCGACAACAGATCCAAGCACCTTCTGATCAGACTAATCCAAGCAGTAGACGACCTAATTCTCGGCAAAAATCTCTACTCAAGCTTCATACGAATTTTTTTGCTTCTTCCAGATCTCAAGATCCCCGCAATCATGGCAACCCTCGGAGGCTATCTCAACAGTGCGTCCCCTCCAGCTCCCAACCTCGAGTGCTGCGTCCTCGATGACATACTGACGATCCTCCCCCAAACAGAGAAAGTCCTCATTGTGACATCGGACTCGAGAATCTTGGTGGGCACACTGGAAGCGGCAGACCAGTCCACGAACCTCGTAATGCCCCTCCCCCCCTGCCCCTTCAAAACCCTCCTGGATCTTCTAAACTACACCTAGCTAACATACATTTCGCGCCTCAGGTACTCAGCAGTGCCCAAGAGCGAGTCATCCAGACCCCCGAGAGCGGCGAGCCCTCTGTCGAAGTGCCCCTCGGCCTCTACCTCGTCCGAGGCGACAACGTCTGCACGATCGGCCTGGTAGACGAAGCGCTAGACGACAGCATCAACTGGACCGAAGTCAAGGGTTCTGCTATTGGAGGAACCAAGCACGTATGAAAACCTGCGCATACACAAAAGAGAGAGAGGAAAAAAGCAAAGATGGGTTTCGAGGATGAGAGTGACATTCTGCGTCACGGGATGTTTGATTACGAGCGGGATACCCGAGTGTTGGGAAGGACATGAGATTGCGCTGCTGCCATCAAGACAGGCAGGCAGGCCGGCAGATGTGCGCGCATTCATGCACACATGCACATGCGCATGCACACACCTACACCTACACCTACACACACAAAACAACGGCGTTTGCACATATTTTGGAGTTGCTATAGAATGACATTGGGTTTCCTACGGGGTATGCGCCTGCCTTTCTTCTATCCAGATCTCTCCTCCATCATGCTACAATCTCAAATGATGTTTGTGCTGACACGAGACAACAACGAAAGAAGAGCCCACACTCACACATAGAAGGGGGGGGGGGGGGGGGGGGGCTAAAATATACGTCTTTTATCTTCCATCTTTATCCGAAAACTCTCTTCATCAGGTCAGGGGCAAACAATTCCTCGCCGGGGGACTCGACCATCCTGTTGACTCTGTTGCCCCTGCTGGTGCTGAGCCAGCCGCCAGTGTCGCCGGGGACCTCCGCCAGGGTCAGGACGTCGACGCTGTCGCCGGTCTCGCTGGCCTCGAGGGCAGCCTCGTTGTACTTGACGCGGAGCCTGCGGTCGATGACGTGCATACCGCGCGTCCACTGGCCCGTGGTCTCGATGCGGATGTCCTCCGGCTCCGCGGTGGCCTTCCACTTGGGGTCGGACTGCGTCAGCAGGTACCAGACGGTCAGGGGATCGTGTAGGGAGAGGCCGGGCTCCTGTCCGTCGCCCTCCATCTCCACGATCTTGTCGAAGCATTTGGACATGAAGTGGTTGACCCACTGGCCGAGGGGGCTTCCCGACGCCACGATGGGCTTGATGGTCTCGGTGAAGTAGTTCTGTCTAAGCAAGTGGGGAGTCGTGATGTCGAGGGGGAATAGCGTCAGCTTGAGCTTCTTGGACAGCCTGGCTGGGTAGGGAGGCAGGGACGACTTCTTGTCCGAAATGGGAGGCATGGTGGAGCGCGGGGTGGGAGAGGTCAGGGCGAAGACGCGCGCGGCAGCGACGGCGTCGGCGACGGTATTGAATTCGCCGTGCGGGGTGATGTTGCCCTCGACGTGGACGGCGCCGCCCATGACGCAAAGTTCCTTGACGCGGAGGAAGGTTTCCGGGTCCTCGGCGGCGGCGAGGGCGACGTTGGTCATGGGGCCGACGACGCAGATGGAGATTGTGTTGGGTTCGTTCTCCTTTAGGATGCGCAAGATCTCCTTGTGGGCGACCTGCTTGGCCGGGGTGAAGTACTGGTTAAAGGGGGAGGGGTCATGGTCGACGTCCTTCTCGGTGTGGAAGAGGGACTGCCAGCGGTCATCTGGGGAGAGGTGAGGGTGCTTCTCGTGGACGCCGTGAAGGCCGTCGAGTCCGTCTGTTGAGGGGTCAGGCGAGTGTGTATCACAGAGGGGGTCCCAAACGAAGGGGTGCCTTACGGAAGTAGTCGGCGGCCAGCTCGTCATCTTCTAGAGCGTGCTCGGCACCGACTGCCACGATGGGCTTGTAGGCCTTGAGGGACTCGAAGCCCTCGGGCTTTCCATTCTCCTTGCGCCACGCAATCTCCTTTTCCAGAACGTGGAAGAGCGCAACAACGTTCTTCAGGCAGCTTTCATCATCAAAAGGGTTAGACTAGAAATGTAGAACCTCCTTTCACGGCGTTTGAACTCACCTCTGAAGAGGCACGTTTCCGTAGGTGACTGAGATCATCATAACCTCGAGCTCCTCGGGGGAGGCTGAGAGGGCCAGGAGCATGGCCATGACATCGTCGATACCTGACAGAGAGATGTATATGAGCTACTTGCACATCACAGCGCTTAGCCCGGGTTTGTTCACTCATATCTCACCTGGGTCGGAATCGATGATGACGCGGTTCTTGGGAGCCATGGCTGCGGTTTTTGAACTACGGGAAGTTTCTGAAATTGGTTGCGAAAAGTGTTTGATGAAGACGAAAAATGATTTCGTCTCAAAATACACAGTTAATTCAATCACTCTGACTGGGAAAGCATTAGTGATATAGAAAACCAAATGTTGATTGAAGTGGGGGAGCGGACATCGGCGGGCACGTGAGCTAAGCTTGAACGGAGGTGTCCGGTCTCCGCCTGTCTCCGGTGTAGATGGATAAAAGATCCCGGGTCCCGGAGGAATATGCGTGTGTGACTCCCGTGTCCCTTTCTCGCCGGGCCTATTTTGTGTCAAAAGCAGGGCGTCGGTGTCGCATTAAGAAACTGGCACAGGTAGGCAAGGCCTGCGCCGAATGGAACCCCTCATTGTAGAAACGTCGGGGGGGGGATGGTCCATGGTGGGGTTGTGGTTTGCGCGCAGTGCGCCAGCGCGGCGGCGTGAATCATGGAGAAAAAAGGACGCGCTAAGCCGCTTCGAGCTACCGAGATCCAGATGTTGTCGATAAGAAGTTCATGGGCGCTGCAGGAAACCTTGGAAAATAGGGACTTTGGGGCATTGGGCACCTAGACGGAGTCTTATCGGGAAAGCCAAGGGGAAAGGAATCTGACATGCGGCAAGGTGCAACTCTGGACCTTGCAAAGATTGGATGAGACGTGGGAGTGAAGGGCCTCGGGAAGTTTGCTTGGATGAGGGTACCTTACTCACGTGAACCTAGCTACCTTGAGGAAGCTGTCTGCAAAAACCTATTTTGATTCTGAACTCTTTTCGATAGGTAGTTGGCAGGCCCGCGCGAGATACCCAGGCAACCTCCGAGTCCGACAAGTTTCCAATGGCAATGTTTGGCAACGTAGTTTGGTTGGCCGCTAATTCCATTGACTCGATGCCCTGACAGCAAGCACAGTGACCTCAATGTCATTTCGCCCAATCACGGAGCGTGCTTGTGGAGCGAGGTCATCACGGTCACGTGTAAGTGACACCTTCCGGGTTGGTGATTGCTCCCTTGCCTTCCTTCCCACAAAGTCGTTGCCTCTTCACATGTGACCAGTCTCCAGTTTTCACGTTCGCCCGAGTCCGTGCTATGGAAGGTAAGGTCCCAAAAGAGTGGGTTCGAGTCCCTCAACCCCGTGGAAACGCGAAGCTGTCACTTTGGAGATCCAGGAAATTACCTAACAGCACCCTGGAGATAACCTCATCTGCCTCCATTACCTACCCTTACCTCATATACCTACCTTGCTCAACTCGAGGAGACACACCAGATCGCTGACAATAACCGTCACGCAGCAAGTAAGTGCAATTTTCCCTTTCAATTGTGTCTTCATCTTATCGCATCTCACATCACACACTCCCTCGTCTCGCCTTTTGTCTTTGCTGCTTCATCTGAGCTCGGCCAGCCAGAAACACATCCCTGGGGACCTGCGGCAAAAGAGGACACCAATCCTCATACTCCGTACTCCGTACGCCATCCGCAATTCCCACTCCTGGAGACTCGGTCCCGACGCAGGTCAGGGTTTGGTGCAGCACCTTACAGATTGGATACCTTCCATTGGGGGGAGCACCTACCTAGCAACCTAGCAGCGCCGAGCAGCCGCAGCGGTAGCAGTAGATACCCGTGGGACCTCTCCAGCGGTCGGCTTTTGCATCCGTGGCATGAACCCCGGGCGCTTGCCTCAGCCAAAAACCCCCATTTGCTACTGGCTCTGGACCTTTGGACCTGCCCTGGACCACTGGCGGCACAATTGCTGAGAAGCCACCTGGTAACTTTTTTTCTTCGGCCTGTCTCTCCTTGCCAAGCTACCTGCATCTGAACACGACATCCAAGCCGTCTTGCAACCGCGTGGTCGAAACGCCTCCTCAATCGCCCTTCTTCCTTCTTCCCTTTTACCAATTCTTTGTTGTTTCTCCCCTTCAACAAACCCACATCCACTCCCCGAGCATCACCGCTCTTACCTTTCATCCTCCAGCAGCCCATCCATTGTTGCGCCCACATCTCCCTTGCGCACCTTCCACCTGTATGTCCCCCGATCGGCGCTTGCCCCCAGACATCTCGGATCATCTGCTCCCGTGCAGAGCTCAGCACAAATTGGACTCCATTGCTAACCTGTCCATTAACCAGGCATCCGAATCTCTCTCCACAACTTCTCCATCAGTGAGGCATCGACTATACTCCGTGACCCTCAACGGCACCCTGAGCTTGCGGTCCTTGATCCGACAAGCCGTTGTCTTTGCTGTTTTTTCAACTGCACCGCGTTGCATAATCTACCATACCCCTTAATACCCATCTGGTAGCGGTCTGCGCCATCCACAATCGCAACAATGACAGTCTCCGACTTCCTCAACACCCAGACCGTGGGCGGCTACCTTGTCTGCTTCCTTGTCGCTGGGGGCTTGATCTACAACTACTCCAGCAAGAAGAAGCCCGCGCAGGTTGCCAAGAGTGTCAAGGCTTATGTTGAGCCCAAGAAGGACGCCAACGCAAAGAAGCAGCGAAAGGCCGCTTTTGCTTCACAAAAGCCTGAAGAGAAGACTTCCACAAGCGCAGTCGATCCTTCCAGCACATGGCTGAGCAATGATCCTAAGGAGGACGTTGATAATGCCGATTTCGCCAAGCGGATGGCTAGTGTCAAGGAGGGCAAGAAGTTTGACGGCAAGTCTTCTGCTGATGCCAAGAAGAAGAAGACCAAGTCTGTCAAGCAATCGCGCGCTGCCGAGAAGAAGCCTGTTGAGGTCACCGAGGAGGAGGAGCCCATCGCTTCTTCTGCCCCGGCTGTCGAGGCTGTTGAGGAGGCCGAGGAGAGCTCCCCTGCCGCCTCCCCCGAGGTCACCCCTGCCGACCCCAGCGGCGTCAGCGACATGCTCGAGCCTACCGCATCCGGTCCCTCCGTTCTCCGCCTGACCGGCACCGACAAGGAGAAGCCCAAGGCCAAGAACCAGAAGGCCCCCGAGCAGGCTGAGACCAAGAAGCAGCGCCAGAACCGCCAGAAGGTTGAGGCCAAGAGAGCCGCCCGCGAGGAGGAGGAGAAGGAGCGCAAGGTCAAGCTCGAGAAGCAGCGCCGTACCGCCCGTGAGGCTGCCGGCATCCCTGCCAAGGATGGCTCCCAGTTCATGGCCAGCGTCAACGGCAACAAGTCCGCTTGGACCGCCGGCTCTCCCAACGGCGCCTCCACCAACGGCACCTCTGCCGCTGTTCAGCCTCTCGACACCTTTGAGGCTCCGGCCCAGAACGGCACCTCTGCAGCCCCTGCTCAGGCCTCCAACAACAACTGGATCTCTTCGCTCCCCTCTGAGGAGGAGCAGATGGAGCGCCTCAAGGAGGAGGACGAGTGGAACACTGTTCCCGCCAAGTCCAAGAAGGCCAAAAAGGAGAACCGTTCTCCTTCCCCTGAGGCTGTCAAGCCTGCCGCTGCCGCCGCCGCTGCTCCGGCTCGTCCCATCGCCCAGGCCGTCCAGAAGCCTGCCTCCAACGGCAAGGCTGCGAAGCCCGTCACGTCCAACTTTGGATCCTTCTCCGCTCTCAGCACTGAGGAGGAGGAGTGGGATGTCTAAGCGATCACTATACCTACGAATGTCATTCTCCAGGATATTCCGCCCCCAGACGCGTTCTTCTCCAATTCACCCCATCGTCCTCGCGCCGTCTGGATGTCACTTGTTATTCTAAATGTACAATACTTCTTCCTGGAGTGCGGCACACCTAAAGAACTCTCTCACACATGCAATCCTTTTGACGTCATGAAGAAGACGCCAGCATTGGTTCGATCACGCTTCCGCGAGACGGCGGCGTCATCGAGTAAGGCGACATGGCTTGCTATCGCATACACGCAAAAAACGATCTCGGCCACAGCATGAGATCTGGAGTTGGGGGATTACATTGGCCAGCGGGCTGAGTGATTTGCACATGCTTTCTTTTCTTCCTTTTGGCCTCGAGACCAGCCAGCTATTGATGGGGATGGGGGGAAACGAAGGAGAGAGTGACGCGGGCTCACGATGTATACGAGGAAGTTGAAAAAAAGAGAATGGTCTTGGGCAGGAAGAAACACAAAAATGAAACCTTTCCTTTAGGGCAGATTGTTGGATCACATGGGAAATGGCCATGCCCCTTCAGTCGTTGTGTGTTTAGCACAGGTTCCCGCCAGATAACTTTCAATGAGTCTTCTTTTCCACTAGTAAACTCCCACCACAAGTATCTGCTGTCGTCTCCTGGGCAGTCTCGACTTGTTTGTTTTGTGAATGATTTGTTGTCATATTACCGGGATGGTGCCAGATCAAGTGATGACAGTGTGATGTGTATCATGTTATTTCTCCACGTTTTTTTTTGTTGTTTTTTTTACAATGCACATGCTGGGCGCCCCCACCTTGATATTTCGTCACGATCTCTTGCCCGCTTAGGAGGAGCCTTATGCGTTGTAGTTGGATCGTCGTTCGATCGAGGCTAGGAGGTGATCGTGACCGGGGGGGGTTCAAGCTGTCACGGCCTGTTGGGCATGTGAGAAGAAAGTCGACTTTCGTTCTGTCCAGTTGGCTACCCCCCTCCCCCTCCCCCTCCCCTTCCTCCCCCACAAGCTAGGTACAGCGCATCCTCGCGGATCGTTGGCGGAGAGACGTTGAAAAGTGATCTGGCTCATTTGGTGATTTTGTAGATTGGCGGAGCTAGAGGGTACCGGATACTGGCTTGTGGGGTTTACCTACTTTTGTTTGGCCTTGACCGCTACACGATGTGGTGGTGGACGAGGAAGAGGGTGTACGATGGACCGTTAGCCCCGCGATCCCAAGTTCCTAGACATGCATTGCGTGGGTAGAATCTGTAGGCTGCTTTGCCCAAGGTAAGGCTTCCTGACCAAGGGTGACTAGGTAGATGGCGAGGTCAAGTGGGATGTGTGTGTGTGTGTGTGTGTGTGTGTGTTGTTCCAAGGCGGTGGGAAGGGAAATCGCGGCATCACGGGTTTGACGGATAGACTAGGAGCTTTTCTAGGACTTGAGCTACTACTGACGGGTGGAACAGCGTGGTCGACTACCACACGCCCGTGGGGGAAACGCTTCGCAGGACGAGACCAGACGCGGGAGGTGAGACATGCAGTATTCACATGTTTATCCAACGCAAGAAGTCTGGAGGATTGGAAGAGAGGTTTGTTGGATCCTAGCAAATGGAAGAGAGACGGAGCGATGAAAGCGTTGGAGCGATGGGGAGAAGGAACGGAGCTGCTTGTGTCCCTTGCGGTCTCGTGACCGAGTCTGCTACGGATAGAGATCGAGTCTGGAGAATTGCATCATGTGTGCGAGAAGAGTACAAGGCGGAGGATTGATGACATGATGGTTAACCGTCGGCTCAGTTGATGCTTGCGACTTGTGAGGCGTGATTTGTGTTTCTTACAATGGGCCGTAT